CACCACAGTGCTGGGCTGCCTCTCCAGCACAAGGTTTCCAAAGGAAAGATGTGCACCAGGCTCGACTCGGTGGCTCATGCCTGTAACCCTCTACTTTGGGAGGCCAGGGTAAGAATGTCACTTGAGGCCAGAAGTTCTAGACCAGCCTAGGTGACAAAGCAAGATCCCATCTCTACAAAAAAAAAAAAAAAAAAAAAATGATCCGAGCGTGGTGTTGTATGCCTGTAGTCCCAGCTACTCGGAGGTGAGGTGGGAGGACCGTGTGAGCCCTGGAGTTCGAGGCTGCAGTGATTGTGCGGCTACACTCCAGCCTGGGCAACAAAGTGAGACTCTGTCTCAAAAGAAAAAAAAAGATGTCACGGCAAGGGGAAAGGAAAATGTTTCTGTGATTGGTATGTTGTGAAAGAGCAAAGCCAGACACAGCTTGGTTAAATAAAACGGCTTACTTGCTGGGCAGATACAGAAGAGAGTCAGCGCAGTTGGGATTCACAGCAGAGAAATCAGCTATGACCTGTGGGGCAGGCAGAGCCACAGATCCCATGGCCAAAACATTCGGAGAGTCACTCCAGGCCTTCTGGAAGCACAGCCACCTCACGCTGGGCCCAGCCTCAGCACCTGCTCCGGGTCGTGGGTGCTTTGTGGGTCCTGGGGCTGATGATGCCTATTGTGGTTGCACAGAACAGCTCATAGTCCTCCCGCATTGCCCTCAGCCCCTGTGGCCAACAGCTGAGCCTCATGCTCAGAACCAGAGCAGGGGGGCGCCTCCCCGCGAGTCTCCAGGAGGCAAACCATTATGACCAGAGGGCAGCTTTGGGGCTTATCCCACAATAAGAGGGGGTCCGCCACCCTGAATGCCACTGATGTTTGTCATGCCTCAGCGCTGTGCTAGGTGCTGGTGGTACTATTCAGAGTAACTCCCCTACTGGCCGAGTGCATCCACTGCAGGCTGGCAGCCTGGGCTGACTGACATCCTAGCTCTGCCACTCACTCCATAGCGCCATCACTTTGAGCAAGTGCCTTAGCTTCCGCATCTGTGAAATGGAGCTTACAGGGACCTGCCTCCCTTGGAGTTGTGGGATTTTATGGGTTAATTCATGTACCGCCCTTAGCATGGTGCCTGGCTCCCAGCAAGTGCTGGGTGGTCATGTTGAGGGATTGCTCCATGCCAGCCTCTGTACAGATGTTGTCTCGGCCATGCTAACATTAACCCCGTGACACAGAGAACACTGTCATCCCATTTTGCAGGTCGGAAAACAAAGAGTCATACTTGGTAATTTCCCCAAAGTCACAGACATGGGGAGCTGTGGAACTTGAGATGGAAACACTTCTCTGCCTGGCCCTGGAGCCCAAGTTCATCCGCATCTTCCCTCCAAACGTTTATTCAGGAGGTAGTTGTGCCATTTGTTGGAGGGGGGCATGGGATGGATGTCAGTTGCTCCACTAGTAGAGAGGTGAGGACGGTGAACCAACTTGGTGGGGAGAAGAAGGGGTTTTTTTGTTTTTTTGTTTTGTTTTGTTTTGTTTTGTTTGAAACAGGGTCTCACTCTATTGCCCAGGCTGGAGTGCAGTGGTGTGATCATAGCTCACTACAACCTCAAACTCCTGGGCTGAAGCGATCCTCCTGCTTCAGCCTCCTGAGTAGCTGGGACTACAGATGCACACCTCCAAAGCCTAGCTAATTTTTTGTATTTGTTAGGGAAATGAAGTCTTGCTCTGTTGCCCAGGGTGGTCTCAAACTCCTGACCTCAAGTGATCTGCCTGCCTCGGCCTCCCAAAGTGCTGGGATTACAGGCATGAGCCACTGCGCCCGGCCAAGATCAGAAGCTTTGAAGGCTGTGAGGCTTTTTCTCTTTTTTGCCTACTGAGGTCACGCGTTTACTAGTACCGTTTCTTGCCTTCCACTGTGTTTATTTTGAGGGCTGTCCTGTGGGTCTTTTCCTAGCTAATTAGCCTCTTAAAGAAGTTTAAAAGGAGAAGAAATAGCACTGGGCCACTGGCTGAGGACGCCTTGGGTCTGACTCCCCTAAGTGCTGTGTTGTGCTGCTGCTCAGGCAGAAGCCAGCGTCCCTGACCCCGGGTCACTCGGCTATTCCCGGCCTCAGGGACGTTTTGAATCGGGGCGTCTAAACCAAAGGTTTAGAGCCTGGATTCTGGAGCCAGATTGCCTGGTAAATGCCAGCTTCTTACTGGCAAAGGGACATTTGTTTGTGTGAATTCCTCAGCTCCTTAGTGTTCTCATGTGGGGCTGGAATGATCACCCTTACCTCCTCTGGCCATGGTGAGGGTCAGTTCATAGGGCACACAGGGAGCCTAGGATAGCATCCAGGATGTAGTACTGGATAAACGGTCGTAGTGTTATTAGGAGCAATAGGTTGCTCGTGTGAGCAGCATGGTGGGGTGGGGGTTGGGAGGGGGTTGACTAGCGGACAGTCTAGGGGGGAATGGCATGGTGGTCTTGTCTTCCTTTGTGCTGGGTGTGTTGGCCACCAGCTGCTAGAGGTGCTACTTGTAGAAAGGGAGCCTGGCAGGGGACCCTGTCCCAGTGCCTGAGGCTTTAGATAGTTCTTACTCATGTCCACAGTCCCGAGAGTCCCCTTGTCCCCATATTTCCCCTCCTGATTGCTTAAGCCTCCCATTCTGAAAGAGAGGGATTGCAGGAGAGGGCAGGGCAGGGGCCTGGAGCACAGGGCAGAGCCAAGAGGGACGGCAGGAGGCCCGGCAGAGACTTGGCAGGAGCCGAGGCTTCAGGCCTGCGCTGGGGCCTTAGGTTGCCTCTAATGAAAAGCCATGCCCTGGGGGACTTTCTGTTGCTGTGAGGAGTGGAGGGGTCAGCAGCAGGTTGGTGCCTGGGGACCACTTCTGCTGGCCGCTTGCCCTAGGCTGGCTCCCCCTAGAGTGTCTCCTGAGATCTGTTGAGTTCCAGGCATCTCCTGAGTTCCAGGCCCTAAGATGCTTATTTGTGAACTTCACCTGCAAGCCACATGCTGTGCCCCCAGAAGAACCTCCTGCTCGAGTGGAGATGGCTGGTCCTGACTTTCCTTGGACCTCAGTCTTGTGTGCTGTCGGGGGTGGCATTTCACACTTGCGGGCAGGGTCCTGTACTAGAGGGCTGGGCTCCAGGGCCAGAGTCAGTGCCCACTCCTTGCTGTAGCACCCAGGATTCTGTGCATCCACATGCTGATGAAAGTTGGTGGAGAAGCTGTCCCTATTATTCTTATGACTACTGTAACAAATTACACCAACCTAGTGATTTCAAACCACACAGATAGATTACTATCTGAAATGGCTTTCACTGGAGTAAAATCAAGATGTTTGCAGGGCAGTGTTCCTTCTGGAGGCTTTAGAAGAGAATTCATTCCCTGGCCTTTTTTAGTTTCTAGGAGGCACCTGCATTCCCTGGGTTGTGGTCCCTTTCTCTGTTTTCAAACCCAGCAGTGTAGCATCTCCCAGTCTCACTCTGATCCTACTGCCTCTCTCTTTTAACGACTTTTTGTTGTTGTTTAGTGTTTTGTTTTGAGACAGGGTCTCTGTCACCTGGGCTGGAGTGCTGTGGTGTGAGCTGGGCTCACTGCAACCTCGACCTCCCAGGCTCAAGTAGTCCTCTCACTTCAGCCTCCTGAGTAGCTGGGACTACAGGCACATGTTACCACACCTGGCCAATTTAAAAAATTTTTTATAGAGTTGTGTCTTGCTATGTTGCCAAGGCTGGTGTTGAACTCCTGGGCTCAAGTGATCCTCCCTGCTTTGGCCTCCCAAAGTGCTGAAATTACAGATGTGAGCCACCATGCCCAGCCTAAGGACTCTGTGGTATTACATTGGGCCCACCCAGATAATCCAGGATAATCTTATCTCAAAATGCTTAACTTCACCCTGACAACAATGACCCCCAAAAATCCACGACGCCTTAATTTAATCACTTCTGCAGAGTCCCTTTGGCCATGGAAGGCAACATGTTCACAGGTTCCGGGGATGAAGATGTGAACATCTTTGCAGGGCAGTTTTCCCACTCCGGGTTATCGTGTATCACAGGATATCTTGATGTTCATGTTGGAGACCGGTGACCTTAACTGAGTCACTTTTCCCGTCACTTACAAGCTGTTGGGAGCTTGGACAAGTTATTCAACCCCTCTGTTCCCTAGCGTCTTCATCCAAGGGTTGTTGGGACCGAATGAGTTAGCACATGTCAAGTGTCAAGAAGTCCCCATTTTTCCTTGTACCTTTTCTAGTTCTTACCTACATGTACACTTATCTTTCTCTTGTTATAGCCGTAGGCACAAGTGTGTTATTTTTTCCCCATGTTTTACTTTTGTAGGTTGCAGTATAGGTGCAGTGCGATGATTTGAAGGCAGACACTAGTCCACAGAAAGTGAGGTGGCTGGTAGGTATGCCACCCTCCACCCTTGTTGCTGATTTTTTTGTAGTACTCATAAGATTGCTCTGATGCTATAAAGAGTACTATAGTGAACCTATTAGTACTGATAGTATTAGTATTAGCCTTGTCCTCCTTTTGAGTTGTTTTCTTGGAATAAACGTTTACACTTGGAATCATTGTAAAATCCCCTCGAAATGCTCTAGAAGGGTTATACAGCTCATTTACACTGCTGCCACACCTTATTGGCAGTGAGTATTAGCTTAAAAGGAAAAAGATGTTTTTTATCCTTTTGGCAAATACCGCTTGCGTGCCTGCTGAGTGTGGGCCGTGTCCTGGGTGCTGGGAAGAGACAGGCACGTCTCCTGTTGTCATGGAGCTGGTCTCCAGCAGGAGAGGGCGACTGTTGATTTAACAGAACTAATAGCACCTCGTTATTCCTTCCATTTGCATTGCTTTCTTCCCTCATTCTTCTAAAAACAAAACGCAGCTTTATGGAATACATTGTCAGGTCTTGTGGTCCTGACCACATTTTTAAACCTCCGGACATGGTGATGTGTATGACCTTTGTGGGGATCTCTGTCTCTGCCGACATGTGCTGTGATATTTCAGAACCCCTCACCTCCCCCAGGCAGCGCTGCTTTCACTCATTGCTGGAAAACCTGTGCTTGTGTTGCCAGGGACTGATGTCATGGTTCGGTGCCTCAAGCTGCTGAAGGAATTTAAACGGAATGACCATGACGATGACGAGGACGAGGAGGTCATCTCCAAGACAGTGCCTCCCGTGGACATCGTGTTCGAGCGGGATATGCTCACGCAGACCTATGACCTCAGTAAGTCTTGTTCCCACACCAGCTTGGATGTGGTTCCCGAGAATCTGAGTCAAGAAGTGCTTTGCCCACATGTGGAGAGAGGACTCTGCTATAGAGAATGTAATACAATGGGAAGCGCCTTGGTTCCCCAGAAGGGTTCAGGCTTTGAGGTCAGATTGGAGTTTGAATCCTTGCTCTGCCACTTAGCCATATGACTTTAATGAGGTCTCTGAGCCCCAGTTTCCTCATCTGTAAAAGCAGGCATTTTAAAGTTCTCCAGAGACACAGAATCAGTAGGAAAAATATATGTAGATGTATGAAAGGAGCTTATTAAGGTAATTGGCTCGTGCAGTTATGAATGCTGAGAAGTCCCACTAGCTCATCTGTGAGCTGGAGGCCCAGGGAAGCATCAGAACTAGGGAAGCCGCGGGGGCATGTCCCAGTTACCTAAGGCTGGAGAGCCTGGAGTTCTGATGGCCAAGAGCGGCAGCAGAGGGGGCTGCAGCTCCAGAAGAGAGAGAGGGCAAGTTCGCCTTCCTCTGGCTTCTTGTTCTGTCTGGGCCCCTGGCTGATGGGATGGTGCCCGCCCACATGGAGGGCAGATCTGTCCCACGTAGTCCACTGAGTTACACACCAGTCTCCTTCAGAAACACCATCACAGGCACACCCAGAGATAAAACCTGACCAGTGATCTGGGTATCCCTTAATCCAGTCCCATTGACAACTAAGGTTAACCATCACATGTCGAGAGCATCAACACTAGCACATTATGAGGATAAATGAATCAAAATAAAAGAGCTGCTATAGGGTCTGGTGCATAGAAAGCACTGAAAAAAGAAAGCTATTACTATTATTATTCAAAGGTTCAAGAGCTATCTGTTGTTTTCTAAGATTGGTCTGGTGTTACCACAGGCCAGGAATCTATGATAAATGGGCAAAGAAAACATTCTCTCCAATTCCTAACCCTTCCCCAGGTCCCCTAACTTCTGTGTAGGACAGCAGTGACCTAGTGTCATAGGTGGTGTGGCCTCAGGTCCCTGCAGGGAGGACAGAGCAGAAGGTGAAGCGGCTACAGGGGATCTGACTGAGCTGTGGGGTCGGCCCAGCCTTTTTGAAGGGCTGTTTGGTAGCTCCCTTCACATCTCTCAGAATGGGTTCCTCACAGCACAACTGGGGAAACGCTGCCCTTAACCCTTTCTTTTTTCTCTTTCTTTCTTTCTTTTTTTTTTTTTTTGAGATGGAGTTTCACTCTTGTTGTCCAGGCTGGAGTTCAATGGCGCCATCTCAGTTCACTGCAACCTCCGCCTCCCAAGTTCAAGTGATTCTCCTGCCTCAGCTTCCCAAGTAGCTGGGATCACAGGCATGTGCCACCATACCCGGCTGATTTTTTTTTTTTTTTTTTTGAGACAGAGTCTCACTCTGTTGCCCACGCTGGAGTGCAGTGGCACGATCTCGGCTTCCTGCAAGCTCCGCCTCCCAGGTTCACGCCATTCTCCTGCCTCATCCTCCCGAGTAGCTGGGACTACAGGCACCCGCCACCACGTCCAGCTAATTTTTTTGTATTTTTAGTAGAGACGGGGTTTCACCATGTTAGCCAGATGATCTTGATCTCCTGATCTCGTGATCCACCCGTCTTGGCCTCCCAAAGTGTTGGAATTACAGGCGTGAGCCACCGCACCCGGCCAAAAGGAAGATACTTCTGAAAAGTCAAAGAGCTTTGCCACCACGTCTGCCTTGCGGCTCGTGTGCTTTACTGCTGGGACTACCTGCCTACCTCCCAGTTCCTAAGCCAGCTCCTTCCTGGAGTTCTTAGTTCCAGCTTAGTAGGATGCATTTAAAGGGCCTCTGAGCGGCAGATATACTCACAATCCTGACATACACCAGCTTATGACAGCCCAGGAGTGGACAAGCTACACACAGCAACAGTGGGGCCCAGTGGTCTGCGAGTCATTTACTCCAGAGTTGAGGAATACCATTTCCTTTCAAAGTCCCCACTTGCACGACTCTTACGGGACCGTGCAGTAGTCAGGGTCCACAATGCCTCTGTGTCTATCAAGAAACACTGGGAAATGAAGAATACACATTAAAAAAAGTTCTGAATTAAAAATTATTTTGATGCTTCTTAAAGAGGTCAGTTTCATTGATCTGAAACAGTTCATTCATGCGAAAGGGCTAATTTCTTGCCATTGGGTAAAGCCTATTGGGTTCCTGCATTTTCGTATTTCAGCTGTTGATCACCTGACATTTAGTATTTTAACGTGGTGTCGTGAGATAGTAAGCATTCAAACATTAGCTGTTAGCGTTACTAGCCTAGCATAGTATGTTACTCAGAGGCTTGGGAGGGAAGCACACTTGGGAGGATAAGGGAGAGAAATGGCGTATGTTTTGTTCTGTCTGTTAATTTCACAGCATTGAAATGTCTGCTGAAAAAGTGGGCTGGAAACTGACTTGTGCAGAACAGCTCCTTTGCAGCCGTTTGGGTTCATGTGTATTGTTTCTCACAGTTGAGCGCAGAGGCACGAAAGGAATTTCCCAAGCTGAAATCCGAGTGGCTATGAATGTGGGAAAACTAGAAGCAAGAATGCTGTGCCGACTCCTTCAAAGATTCAAAGTTGTCAAGGTAACATCATGAGCCTTCCCCCAACACTCCTTGTCTTTGGAGGTACATGCGGTGTATTTGCTAAGGAGCATCTCAGTCAGAAGATTCGATGGCCTGACATGTGTGTCAAGGAGGCAGTTGGCCTCCCCGGGGCTGAGTGCAGTCCATAGCCATGTTGTCTCTCCCTCACTGTGGTTCCTGTTTGTCTTCACTTTTTAAGAATTGAATGACTTGTCAGCTTTGAAAAGTCAGAAAGTAGCCGGGCATGGTGGCCCACACCTGTAATCCCAACACTTTGGGAGGCTGAGGCAGGTGGATCACCTGAGGTCAGGAGTTCGAGACCAGCCTGGCCAACATGGTGAAACCCTGTCTGTACTAAAAGTACAAAAAATTAGCCAGGCGTGGTGGTGCATGCCTGTAATCCCAGCTACTCGGGAGGCTGAGGCAGGGGAATTACTTGAACCCAGGAGGCAGAGGTTGCAGTGAGCCAAGTTGGCACCATTGCACTCCAACCTGGGCAACAAAAGTAAAACTCCATCTCAAAAAGAAAGAAAAGTCAGAAGGTGATGTGGCCACCCCAGGAGCCTACTCCCATGTGGGGACAGTCAGCTGGGGCTGGCCACTCTGTTCACCTGCTTCAGACAAAGCAGTGCTCTCCAGGGTTCCACCATCCCCACCTGGCCCTCCTTCTCATGCATGTTACTTGCCGGGTGCCTGGGGACATCGAGTTGGCCAGCTATGCCTGTCTGGCACTCTTCTTTTGTAATTCAGACCTGTGGTCTCAGCCCCTGACATGCCACTCTCGTCTTGCTCACGATCTGGTCATCTGGCTGGAAGGCAGTATTATAGTTGGGTGAATGACTGCAGCACACTTAGCCCCATCCTGGCATGTGGTGGTACCTAGATGTTACTCTTTTCCTGTCAAAGGCCCTGGGAAGAGCCCCTTGCCCTTTTCTGGAAGTTAAAATGGGTGTGGATCACTGATGCCCAGTCCACCAATCCTCATGGCAGTGGCTAAGTGGAGCTCGAGTTCTCCAGTCTAACTTTTCAGTCTGCATCACAAACACTTGCTGCTTACTGACCGTTTTGTGTGGGCCACGTCCTGTCCCAGGCACTGGGGCTATATGGAAGGTTAAGTCAGGGCCCTGCCCCTGAGAAACTCATAGCCTTATAGAGCAAACACACATTCAGGGTTGTACTTCAGAAAAGGATCCCTGTGGAAGCAAGACCTGGGGGATTACAGAGAGGAAGAGCCTGGAGGAAGCATCAGTGTTGCCCAACCCAGGGCCCAGGCAGTAAGACAGGAGACACAGAAGAAAGACAATGAGGAAATAGACGCCACAGACCACCTGAACCCCTGTGGGTATGATGCCCTCTTTGCAGTGGGATAAACACATCTTATTCCCTCTAGGGATTCATGGAAGACGAAGGTCGGCAGCGAACCACCAAGTACATTTCCTGCGTGTTTGCAGAGGAGAGCGACCTAAGCCGGCAGTACCAAAGAGAGAAGGCCCGCAGTGAGCTCTTAACCACCGTGAGCCTGGCATCTATGCAGGAGGAGTCGCTTCTGCCTGAAGGCGAGGACACCTTCCTCTCTGAGTCAGACAGTGAGGAGGAGAGGAGCAGCAGCAAGCGGAGACGCAGAGGGTCCCAGAAGGACACAAGAGCCTCTGCGAACGTCCGGGCTAAGACCCAGCCTCATCACTCCACCCCAGCCAAGGGTAGGGAGCACGTGGGGCGGGCGGGGGCTGCGTGCACTGCACTACTGGGCACCTGCAAGAAACACCCCTTCAGTTCAGCAAACGCCTGCAGTTGCCCTTGGAACCATCCTAATGAGAGGCCCGATGCTGTCACTTGTACCACATCATCATGGGTTTGGAGGAGAGGGTCCTGTGGTATCTCCTGGTTGCTTGCAAATCATTTCTTCATGGCCGATGTTTTGTTTGCTTGTTTTTACTATTAAAGGATGGAATTTCATAAGCTTCCTCTGCCCCCTCCCCTCCAACAGTCTAAGACTCCTCCAAGTTTTTAGTTTAGTTATAGAAAACTTTTTTAAAATGCATAGTGAGTGGTGCTGATGACCCGTTTGCAAATCTGGTACCCAGCTCTGAGCCCCCTGGGGGCATTGTTAAATGTCCAGCTTAGGAGGGACTCCTACTGGCATTTCATAGGTAGAGGCCAGGATGCTGTTTAACATCCTGCAATACACAGGACAGCCCCTGACACAGAGAATTAACTGACCCAGACGTCAGCACTGGCCAGGTGGAGAAGCCCTGCTGTAGATGAGAGGCCAGAAGGAGGAGCCCAAGCTACTGCTGGTCTACTTCCCTCACCTTTCAACTGACTCTCAGCAGAATCCTCTGGCCCCTGTGGGTCTGGTCTGACTGCCAAGCAGGAATGCCCTCCTGGCCTCCCCCTTGATTTGTTCTACCTCTTTCCTCCACCACAGGTGGGTGGAAAGTTGTAAACCTACACCCATTGAAAAAGCAGCCACCCTCCTTCCCAGGAGCCGCTGAAGAGAGAGCCTGCCAGAGCCTTGCCAGCAGGGACAACCTCTTGGATACCAGCAGCGTCTCAGAACCCAGTGTGTCCTTTGTCTCCCACTGTGCGGACAGTAACAGTGGTGACATAGCTGTGATCGAGGAGGTCCGGATGGAAAACCCAAAGGTCAGTGCATGCAGAGGGAGGGAGTTGTCTCCGAGAAGGAGCCTGTGGCCTCATGGTTTCTGTGTTTAGGAATCACATGATCGCAGTGGAGTCATCCACAGCGAGAGTGCTGCGTGCTGAGGCCTGCCTGTGCTTCCCGCCGAGGCCTGCCTGTGCTTCCCGCCGAGGCCTGCCTGTGCTTCCCGGGCAGTAGCGCGGTGCTCATTTACACACCACCCTCATGCAGCCTGGGCCCTACGCAGAGATTGTCTGCATGGTTATCCACCCAGTGGCTTATTAATTTCCAACAACTTATTCTTTTCAGTTAGATTTGTTTTAGAGGGAAACCTATATGCCTAATTTAGATCAATGGTTCTTACCCAGTTTTACCCCTTTTCTGTTCATTGGATGCCACAACTCTCTATGGAGTCAGGATTGGCATTTACCCCAGGGGACATTTGGCAATATCTGGAGACAGTTCTCAGTGCCACACTTAGGGAGAGGCTGCTACTGGCATCCAATAGGGAGAGGTTAGAATGCTGTTAAACATCCTACAATACACAGGACAGAGCTTCACAGCAGAGAATTTCCTGGGCCAAATGTCAGCACTGGCAACGTGGAGAAACTCTGCTTTAGATAAATGGCCAATATCATTTGTCGTAAAAAAGAAAGTAATCATAGAATAGATACAATAAAGTCAAAACCGTATTAGTACATTCCAGCCAGTTACTGTTATATATCAAGGAGTTAAAGACACAGTGAAGTCAAACCAGTACTTTCATGAATATAATTGGAAGGATTAAAAGACAGTTGATAAGGAATGCCTTTCCCATTATGTGATTCAGTTCACCTAATGCCATGTCAATACTGGACACATAACCACCTCAGACACTGCCAGTGCCACCCCCTGTATTTTGGAAACACTGAGTAGAGAATGAGGCACCTAGCACGGAGTAGTAGATGCATGATCTGGGGTGGCTTTTGATGGTGTTGCTGATGTTTATGTATGTTTTTTAATTAATTAATTTTTTTGAGACAGAGTCTTGCTGTGGTGCCCAGGATGGAGTGCAGTGGTATGAGCTCGGCTCACGGCAGCCTCTGCCTCCTGAGCTCAAGTGATCTTCCTGCTTCAGCCTCCTGAGTAGCTGGGACTGCAGATTTTCTCTTCTGCAGGCACGTGCCACTGCACCTGGCTAATTTTTGTATTTTTTTTTAGAGATGAGGTTTCATCATGTTGCCTAGGCTGGTCTCAAACTCCTGGGCTCAAGTGATCCTCCCAACTCAGCCTCCCAAAGTGCTGGGATTCCAAGTGTGAGCCACTGCGCCTGGCCACTGCTGTTTCATTCAGCCCTGTAAGGTCCATGTCAGCTTTGGTCTGTGAGAGGAAAGCGAGGCCCCTAGGGATAGAGTAACTTGCCTGCGCAGTCCCTACCCTATGCCACTTCTCCCTTTTTGGAATGGTGGCCTGTACTTTGGAAGTATTTCTATGGCAGAGGTGATGGGGCGTGGGGTTGATTTTTTTCTAGACCCTTTCAGGCCTTTTCTGTTCATTGGATGCCACAACTCTCTATGGAGTGAGGATTGGCATTCTTTCTAACCAGGGAGGCTGGGCCTGCCAGCAGTGGAACCCAGCAGGTCCCCTAGAGTCCCGCCTGCCTTCCTCCTCCCCCCTGCCATCCCCTTTGTACCTCTGTGCACTTCCACCAGGTCTTAAAATCCCTGACTTGTTTCCTAGCTCAGCTCTTCCTCTCTCTCATGGAAGTCCATTCCCAGAGTAATGGCAGCACCGTGGTCCTCCCCACATCCTTGCTGAAAAGAATGGCACCCACTGCTTGCCTGGAGGCTCTTGGCAGAGCACGTTCCCTTTGCTGTCCAGCAGCCCCATGGAAAGTGGCTAGATTTACTCACATGATTTTCCCCCAAACTTTTCACCCTGAAACACAAGGGTGAACAAAGGACTTTCTGCCCCTCTTGGGACTCTTCTTGAATCTTTGATTCTTTCCCCCTTCAACAAAGAACTGTGTCTTGCCTGGAGCTCCCACAGTGGACAGGAAAGTGGGCTGGGGCCTGGCTGTTCAGATGCCATCACCGAGTGACCTCCTTGGGCACTTCCTCATTTCCTGAAATTGCTACTCCAAGCTGGGAGGTGACAAGCAGAACATGCCCTGGGGCTACCATAAGGCGCTGACTTGGGTCCAGTGATTCACAAGATGTGTATTAGAGTTAGGATTTCTTTTCCATATAGGGTTCACATTTGGGCTTTCACATTTTGATCCAATGTTGGGTGAAACAGTTCATCTTAAGCTCATTAAGAGAGAAAGACATTACAAGATAAGTAGATGATTTAGTGGGGATAGAAGAGGAAGCACAGATCCACTCATCCTAATTTTCCTAGAGGAACCCTATTCTGAACTCAAAAGCCGTCTTCTGCCTCATGTCACTTTTTGTCCAGAGACTGCCCTGGCTTCTTCCATCTGGAGTCAGAGGCCCCATCCTGGCACGTTCACTCCCCATGAAACCCTGGAAATTAGCCACACAGCCCTGGTTTCCTCTTCTGTACCATGGGAACTATGATGATAAAAGTGTTAAGAGTTTTTGATGGAAAAAACCCAACAATACCTGGCGTGTAATTGTCAGTATGTCAGTTTCTTCCATTCCATTGTGGGAGAACCAAAGGGGAATTGAGGGAACACTTCAGGAGCTGCTGGAGTAGATGCCTCTGATTTCTGTCCTGAAACCAGCTGATCTTCATAAACTGGCCCAGGGTCCTCTGCTGGCCGATGTCTTTTTCAAAGCATTGAGATGGTAGAGTAGTGGGATCCTGTGTAGGAGAACAGGCTTCTCGGCTTCCCTTCTTGAAAGATAGGAGTAGAAGTTCCTTGGAGAGGGCCAGTGCACCCACAAGAGTGGCGTGTGGCCCCCAAACCTTGCCAAGCCCATTTCATCTTGTGCTTTTGGTCTCTGTTCTAGGAGAGTACCAGTTCCCTGAAGACTGGGAGGCACAGCTCAGGCCAAGACAAACCACACGAAACTTACCGACTGCTGAAACGCAGGAATCTGATCATAGAAGCTGTCACCAATCTTCGCTTAATCGAGAGTTTATTCACGTAAGGAGCTGTCTGTCTCTCTTCTTGCACTAACAGTAATCCTTCTACCAGTTAGTCATCACAAGCCATGGACACCACTGAGCAGCCTTCAAATCTGTGTCCCACTGTGTAGATTCTCGTCTCGTTCCTTTGCAGTAGGAAGGATTTAGAGTTTACTCTTATTCAAAAGGGGCAGATACTGAGGAATTGTCAGCACACTAGTCAGAGAGAGAATGACTGAGCAGGAAGCAGAAGTCACAGGGAAAGTGCGTTTGTCTTTTCCTTACCTGGAAGATGGTTGCTCTAGAAGGGCTATGGAGACACTTAAGCGGGTAGTAGCATTACTTCCAGACTTTTAGTTCTCCATGGTGCATTTTGTGCAAATAGAATCTTCTAGAGGAGAAAAAACAAGAGACACAAGTAGAGCTTCTGTGTTTGGGATGGAGTAGAGGCTCTGAACTCTGATGTGGTTCTTGTAACCTCCTGTCACCACCACCTCCTGGGTGGCATTTTCAGGGCTTCTGAGGCACCCAATGTGAGAGCCACTTGGTGAGGAGGAGCCCTACCTTCCATCAGGGACATGGCTTCTTCCTCATACTCCGTCTCTAACGAGGGCTGAATGGGAGGGGGTAGGGACCATCTGCACACACTGTCACCTTGTTCTCCTCCTCTGAGTCATGAGAGGTTTAGCTAGGTGTTCCTGATGTCCCTTCTGGCCCTGCATTCTATTTTTTATTCTTTTTCTTTTCTTTTTTTTTTTCTCTTTTGAGATGGTGTCTTGCTCTGACGCCCAGGCTGGAGTGCATGATGCAATCTCAGCTCACTGCAACCTCTGCATCCTGGGTTCAAGCGATTCTCCTGCCTCAGTCTCCTGAGTAGCTGGGATTACAGGCACCCACCTGGCTAATTTTTGTATTTTTAGTAAAGACAGGGTTTCACCATGTTGGCTAAACTGGTCTCAAACACCTGACCTCAAGTGATCCGCCCATCTGGGCCTCCCAAAGTGCTGGTATTACAGGCGTGAGCCACCACCCCCGCTGGCCCTGCGTTCTGTGATCAGTGATCTAGAAAGATCACCATCGTGATTCAATAAGACCTAGAGGTCGTCAAAACGCACTTCAGATCTTAGGGGCTAGTGATACCGAAGCAGGCCTTATCTGGATGTTAAATTAGCATTTGACTTGGTGAAGACAGGTTTCTATCATGGTGCACAGTTTCCCTGCCATCATGATCTCAAATTGTAGTCTCTTAAGCTGCTGGTGAAAGACTCAGCTGTGGAGCTGCTGTCTTTGGTGGCTCGTCCTTATCTGATACGTTTGCCACAGAGGGAAACAATCACTAACGTCTCAAGAAGTCAGTCTTTCCAGGGTGGGGAAACCCTCTTTGATCCTTCCCTGTTTCTGTTGGTACCGTGAGGCATGTCTCTGTTGCCTGGGTTGAGGAAGGCCTTCCACGTTGAGATTGGGAATGTTATCTGCTTATTTTGTGATTCCCAGGATTCAGAAGATGATCATGGATCAGGAGAAGCAGGAAGGTGTGTCCACCAAGTGCTGCAAGAAGTCCATCGTCCGCTTGGTGCGGAACCTGTCTGAGGAAGGTCTCTTGCGATTGTATCGGACCACCGTCATTCAAGATGGCATCAAGAAGAAGGTAACCAGGGCCTCCCCTGATGTCCAGAGCCAGCCTAGTGCTGTTGCAAGTTTTTGTCTAGCTTCTCTTGTCATTGCTGTATCCTGGTAGTTGCTTTATTACCAGTGACTGGGAATTTCCCATTACGCCTCCTGATTTGGGGAATACAGGTTAGCTGGAAACAGAAAAGAGCAAAAATTTGCTAGGATTTTAAAGCATGTCAACTCCAGGCAGCAGCTGTGCAGGCATCCAGCCCCGCAGCCATCCTTGAAGAAGCAGAAGGCAGGCAGAGGCATATTGAAGTTCAGTCATTGTAGGACAAATGAAATAACATTTAGAAGGTGGGAAATTTAGACTAAGCAGCAAGAACGCTTTCCTCAGAGAGCTGAGGAAATATCCCAGAGGAAGCAATGGCATCGAGTCAGTGAGGATGCGCTGCCGGGTTATCCGATGGGAGCAGTACATCTCTTCCGCCTCGACATGTCTATTTCTGTAAAATTTAAAGTTTGGGGGGATGCATTCCCATAGCAACTGTAGCTCAGCAGCTTCATGGACATTCTAAGGCACACGTTTTTCACAGTCAGGGTAATTTGTGATGGTACAGCCAGGCACCAGGGCCAAAGGGAATGGTTGTGTGGGGACAGTCGCTCATAATTTCCTGACCTTTTCTTCTGACTGCATTTTAAATCTCTGCCTTAAGAAAGCTCTGCTTTGATATTTTGTTTTCTTAATAAGCTAGCAAGGTCATTTTTGCTTTTCTACTTTTATTTTTTGAGAAATTTGAAAACTGCAGAGCAGTACGAAAAATGACTTAAGAAACAACAGTGTCTATCCTTCCCACATTGACAGCTCTTCTCAGTTTTTATATCTACTGTAAGTCTTTTTAAAATAAAACAATAATGTTCCCTGGCCCCTGCTCCCTGCTTCCCCACCAGCCTGCCACTTGTGCCCTGAGCAGTGGCAGTGGGTTCCTGCGCTGCCCTCTCTCAGTGAAGGCCGAGAAAAACTAGCCCAGTAGCAGCAGTGTCTTCGATTTCTGTTCATCTTCAAAGAGTGCAGTCGCTGAAGACAGGAATCCCCCACCCTCCCACCCTCCAGTCTAGGGTTAGGGAGAGGCAGGCAGGCATAGGCATCAGCTATGTCTCCAGGCAGTGCTGGAGGGAGTGGGCGAGGGACGGGGGCAGCGGGTAAGCATGGGGGGGCCACATAACCTCAAAAATGAAAGTGCCCAGGCCTCTTGCCACAAGGTCCCACTATAGTAGCTGGAAAGGGCTTCCGTCGTGTGCATGTGACTCTAGTACCAGCGTAGGTTTCCAGGCAGGACTTTGTCTGGCACCCAGAGCATGTGCTGCTGGCAGCCTTTGATCTGCTGGGGCCATGTGGACTGGAGCTGGTGTGCCTGTGTCAGTCTTTTGCCTTTGCTCCTGGGTTCTCCCCCGCCCATGGGGCCTCTGGGAAGTTTGCTGGGCCATTTGGCTGTGGAAAGTGGGGCAATGTGAGTGCTGTATATTTCTCCTTTGCCTTTGACTTCTCTGAAATGTTGCCTCACTGCATCTCATTTGAGCTTCACAAAACCACAAAGCTGGTGGTTGGGGATGGGGGCGGGGTGGTCCTTATTTCACAAATGAGGATCAGGAGAAAATGAGCCAAGAGTGGCGTTCGGGAGCCCTCGTCTAGGCATTGTTGCCTGCCCCGTTTCCAGATCTATCTGAGCCCGTGTTCAGCATGAAGCTGCTGGCCAGAGTGGATACTCAGACAGCCTGACCTTGCTGTCCCCTGCCTCAGCAGAGACAGGCAAGAAGCATGGCTCCCTGGGGTCCTGGCCATCCTCACCTGCCACAGCATGACTGGTGCGCTCACACACACTGTGCTCCACTCCCCGACTCCCTGCTGAGCGTTCAAGTTACTTCCCTTCCACACAGTCTGTTTTTCATCTTGTGTATCTCTCATGAAATGATAACCACCTTAACTGTTCAGCTTCAGTAGCTCGGAAAAGGTAAAACAACAAAAGCAGCTCTAATTCTCTGCCGGTTTGTTTGGACGTGCGCCTGGCAGGAGTCCCATGATGGCACTCTCAGCAAGGGTAGATTAATGAAAGCCGCTTACCTTTTCCAGATGGAAGCCCTCAGGACTCACGAGCAACTGGGAAATTCTCAGATAGTGGGAAGGGGGCACAGAGCAGCCCGCCAGGTAGCAACAGAAACCAGTGGGCTGTGACAGCCCAGTGAGGGATTTGCAGGGGGACGGCTCTGTGTCCTGGCCCGATTCCTCAGTAGGGCTGAGCAGCCCCGGCACCCATGGCAGAGCCTGATTGCTTGGTCACTTGAGGGGTTTGGCTGCCAGTAGCTGCACCAGCATACTGTTCAGCAACACATTTTGTTTCGATCTCCTAATTGTGTTTTGGAAATGTTAATGAAAACAGGTGTGACTGAGGTTCCACCAGGAATCGACTTGTGGAGCCAAGTCTTCCTCAGCTCTTCTCTGACCTGTGGGATGCTCCAACCTCTCTCTCCAGGTGGATCTGGTGGTGCACCCGTCCATGGACCAGAACGACCCTCTGGTGAGAAGTGCCATCGAGCAGGTCCGCTTCCGGATCTCCAATTCAAGCACAGCCAACAGGCAAGTGGAGGCGCCTGGGAGGGACCCATAGCAAGGCTGCCAGGCCTGTGTGTCAGCCTGCTGCAGTCCATAAGAGCCCTTTCTTTATACCTTCATGGATCAGTGGATTTGTTGGTTTGGAGTTCATGGTCCATGATATCCTAGTCTAAATAAGGACCAATTTCAGGATTCTGTAGGGGGGAAAAAGTCCTAAGGTCTTTATTCTGTCTGATAGAGTGTGGACAGAGCACTCCCCATCGTAGGCCTCTGAAGTCTGACACTCACTCTCATAATGGCTCACAGTGATTCTGGTTGCCTTTCTCAGATCTTCTCTAATTTCATTCATAAACCATGTAATGAGCTGAGAGAAAACTCAGGGGAGGGAGAAAGTTCTTAGCTGTGTCTCAGCTAGAAACTCTCACAGGCAGGCAGAGGGCTGATCTGGCTTGCACATGCTGGTTTGTGGGATCTGCTAAGTATTGGCCACACATACTTTGAATAGGTTGCTGGTTAATTTCTCATATAATTCCTGACTTCTAGCATTGATGCATATGTCAGAGATCTAGCATATTGGATTCCCTGTCTCACAAGGCAGCACCCATAAGTGGGGGTGCCCTCTCCAGGGCCCCACAATCCTTACCACCCCCAAAAGTTTCAGTGACTTGACATTTTGTTTGCATCATCTCCCTGGCCCCTACAGGGAGCAGAATTTGAAACCCCCAGGCCAAGAGGCTCTATCTGATTCACGCAGACAGACTCTGTCCTTTCTCTTAGCCCTTGATTTTCTCGGTACATTATTGCATGTTTATTTGAACTGCAGGGTTAAAACTTCCCAGCCTCCAGTGCCCCAAGGGGAGGCAGAAGAAGACAGTCAAGGAAAAGAGGGCCCAAGTGGATCAGGGGACTCTCAGCTGAGTGCTTCCTCTAGATCAGAAAGTGGACGGATGAAAAAAAGTGATAAGAAAATGGGCATAACCCAGCTTAGAAATTATCACCCTGTTGTAGGTAAGCAGCAGCTTCTTGTCTGTGTTTAGTTACATTTGATTTGTTGTTTGTATGACGATGCTTGAGGCACTTGGTCGTCTCCATTCGAGCTCTGAGCCACAGTCAGAAGAATCGCATCTGAGCTGTGGGCTGGATCCTGTTACTCTGGCCGCATAACTTCTTCCAGCGTCTGTTTGCCTATCTGCAAAATGGGGACAGTTCTGCCTGCCATACCTTGCAAGGCTTTGGATAGACTCTGACGAAATCCAGCTAGATGTCAATATGAGGAAAGAATAATTTCTTCTGCTGAATGTCCTTGAGCTGGAACATTCTACAAACTACAGAAAATTTCTCCCTGTCCCGACTCAACAAATCCCCCAGCAGCACAGTCATTGATGAGTCTGAGTGCTCCTATAATTTCCTCAGAGTTGGAGCGCTGACGGATTCCCTCCTCCCTCATTTCTGAACTTGTGCTGAGCAAGGCAGGTGGCCATGGCATTATAATCAGAATGCTCAGCTCCTCTCCAGGCCACGGCACATATGCTGGTTCAGGAAGGAGGGAAAATTTGGCTCATCGGGGCCCGACTGTCAGGCAGCATCGGGTCCGAGACACAGCAGACCCAGGGATTCCAAGTGGAAGAGATTGTGTGTGTGACTTCCGTTTCCCAGGGCTGCAGCCCCACAGTGTGGCATTTACTCTCAAGGTTCCCCTGTTAGAAGGCACAGGTGAAGGAGGAACAGCAGCATGAGTGTGTGCAGCTAGACAGCATTTGCACTCAAATGGACCAGGGGCAGCACGGGTGTTCCTCGGGTGGGCCTTTTCTGACTGCCTGTCCTGTACTCTCTTGCTGTGCCTACCTCCTCTCGCAGCCGTCATCTCTCACTGGGGAAAACCAAGCAACAGTGCATTTGTATCAACAAAGAAATAAGCCCCTTTAAAATAATGGAGATGGCTGGGCACTGTGGCTCATGCCTGTGACCCCAGCACTTTGGGAGGCCAAGGTGGGTGAATCATGAGGTCAGGAGATTGAGACCATCCTGGCCAGCATAGTGAAACCCTGTCTTTACTAAAAATACAAAAATTAGCTTGGTGTGGTGTCTGCAATCCCAACTAGTTGGGAGGCTGAGGCAGAATTACTTGAACCGGGGAGGTGGAGGTTGCAGTGAGCTGAGATCACGCCACTGCACTCCAACCTGGGCAACAGAGTGAGACTCTGTCTCAAAAAAAAAAAAAAAAGACAACAAAAACTGAGATTATGGAATATTTGGCACAGTTCTCATCAAGCCAGAAATCCTTATCCAGTAGCTTCTCAGGCCTTCTGTTAGGCCGTTCTTAGCCTGCTATAAAGGAATACCTGAGGATGGGTCATTTGCAAAGAAAAGAGGCTTAATTGGCTGATAGTTCTACAGGCTGTATAGGAAGCATGGTGCCAGCGTTTGCTTGGGTCCTGCTGAGGCCTCAGGAAGCTTCCAGCCATGATGGAAGGTGAAGGAGGAACAGGCACATCACATGGCAAAAGCAGGAGCAAGAGAGAGAGTTGGGGGAGGTGCCACACACTTTTAAACAACCAGATCTCATGAAGATGGCACCAAGCCATGAGGGATAACCCATACCTAGACGCCTCCCACCAGGCCCCATCACCAGCACTGAGGATTACATGCCGATGTGAGGTGTGGAGGGGCATCCAAACCTTCCCACCCTCCTTGCTGATGCCCTGCTCGGTTGCCCTCCTGCCACAGGTTCTGTACTCTCCTTCCTTGCTCTGCCTCCCTTTCCAGGAATGTGCGGGGCACACCCCCACCTCAGGCCCCTTGCATTTGCCCTGTAGGCATGCCCCAAGGGGTCTGCACTGCCGGCAGCTCCTTCACCAACTGGAGTTCACTCTAAGGCTCCCCAATGAGGCCTCTCCTTTTGTAGAATTGCAGCCCTCCTCCCATCCGTGCTTTATTTTCTGCACCAGCTGTTTTCATCTGATGGGCTATTTTAGATCTTATATTTTATTATCATTCCTTGCCCATTAGAAAGTAAGCTCTAAGACAGTAAGAATATTTGCCATCTTTCTGGGCCCTGGCACATAATGGCACTCAATCGTTTTTTAATGAATTAAACTGAATTCAATATGGGATTTTTCAAGCACCGCCCTCTCCCTTTCTTGCTTTAGTTCCCGGACTGGGGCGTTCTCTAGGGTTTCTGCCCAAAATGCCTCGCCTGCGGATGGTCCACATGTTTCTGTGGTACCTCATCTACGGGCACCCTGGCAGCAGCACTGTGGAGAAACCAAGCCTCATCAGTGAACGGAGAACGATAAAGCAGGAGTCGGGCAGGGCAGGCATCCGGCCGTCCTCCTCTGGACATGCCTGGGAGGCCTGCTCTGAAGCCCCATCTAAAGACAGCCAAGGCAGTGTTACCTGGGAGGCTGAAGTGGAGCTCGCCACGGAGACAGGTGAGAGGCCCCTGCCACTCCTGCACCTGGGGCAGGCAGGCCCAGTAGTAGGATCCAGGGAGAAACATGATGGTTCCTTATCCTTGTATAAACTGGCTACAGCCTCTGATCCAAATGGAAACATAATCCACACTTCCTGAACCTGCAGGCTTTCTTCTTCATCTTCCTTCCTGCCTGACAAGTAGAGTTTTCCTCGAGCTGGGGGTAAGGACATCAAGACCTCCTGAGGATGATGTCACCATGTGTCACCATGGTGACTGGGATCCTGGCTGCGGGGGGTAACTGTGAGTTTTTTCCTAGTGTATGTGGACGATGCCTCGTGGATGCGCTACATCCCCCCGCTCCCAGTCCACAGGGAATTCGGCTTTGGCTGGGCTCTTGTCAGCGACATCCTCCTCTGCCTTCCCCTCTCCATCTTCGTCCAGATTGTGCAAGTCAGCTACAAGGTATTGGTGACAGGAGCCATCACAGCACTGGCCCCTTGGCTCTGGGCTGGGAGGCCTACACTCACCTGGGCAAGGGAGGAGGATACTTGAAGACCCAGGGTTGCCCAGATGGATGGATGGATGGATGGGTGGATGGATGGATAGATGGATGCTCAGTCAAGGGAAAATACTTTAAGGATTTGTTTGAGATAGATTAGACTAGATTAGATTAGAAAGATGATTGGGTGGATGGGTGGGTGGTTGATCGGGGTAAATACTTCAAAGAGTCGTTCTTCTAAATGGATCTATTGGTAGGTAGGTAGGTAGACAGAAAGAAGACAATTATATTACAACAATAAAACATGTTGTTTTTAGAAATTTGGTAAATAGAGAAAGATAAAATAGAAATTACCCATAACTGTATCACTCAGAGATATAATTACTACTAAGTAATTATCTTGGTAAGTTTTTTGTAGTCTTTCATTGCTATGCCATACATACTTGTGTGTACACGGGTATGTGTGTGATCTCCCTTTAAAAAAAAACTGAATTGAAACTATATTCTGTCTTATTGTCTGTGCTTTTGACTAAAGAATGTTTCATATTTTTTGCATCATTAACTTTTTTAGACTTGATATTAAGTAGATTCATGGTATTCTTATCTAATTTATTTAACTATAATATTTTCTATTTTTGTACATTTAAATTCCACTTTCTTGCTACCGTTGAGTAGGTATTTATTATGACATGTTGATGAATACCTTTTGGTAGACATAGATTGGCGGCTCCAGCATTATTTCCTTCGGGTAAGGATAGGAGCAGAATCACTGGCTTCAAAAGGAACGCGTGTTCTCCATCTCGTCTTTTCTTGTTTAATATAAATGTATATATTCTTGTGTTGCCCCCAGGAAAGGTTTAGCAATTTCTATGCCCACCAGCAGGGTAGGAGGGCACCTGTTTATTGCTCCCTGCAGTGTGGTAGTTGGGCTGGAGGGGAGGGGCAGCAAGGCCAAAGGCAGAGATGCACGGGCACTTGGTGAGGCAGGAAGGAGAGCCTAGTGGGCAGGTTCAGGGAGACTGTGTTCAGAAAATAGTGGCGAACACTTTTTCAAGTTTCTTGAGGGCCAGGGCGAGCTGAACCTGCACATCACCTCTTCAGGTGGACAACCTGGAGGACTTTCTGAACCACCCGCTGAAGAAGCACACGCTGATCCGCTTTCTCCCCAGGCCCATCCGGCAGCAGCTTCTGTACAAGAGGTGAGGCCATTGAACCTGATCCAGAGTGGCCGCAGGTCTAAACAAACCCTTTAGTCAGGGCTCTGAGCCATCATTCACCAGGAAGAGGAAAAGGTTTCTAACTTCCAGCTTGCAAAAACTCAAGATATTTATTAAGTTATTAATATTAATGGAAGTATGGACTGGTACATTTTATTACTTGATTTGAAGGTTCTTTTAAAGTAAAATCTGCTGCTAATGTATGCAAGTACGGGAATGGTTTTTTTTCCCCCTTTCATTACTTTTACTTTCCAAATCAAATCCCCAGTGTCGGGTTGATCTCTGTGGCCCTGGTTGGGTGTTAGGTTGGGTAGTTCTGGGCCTCAGTACAGTGTCAGCTTGAGACCGGTCCTCCAGTGACCACCAGGTGGAAAAGAGAAGAAGGAAGTCGCACCCCTCACCCCACATGCAGACCTCTGCGGCTGGCTGCGAGTGTGGGGTGATGGGAACCTCCTGCCCCCCTCTGTTTTCTAGGCGTTACATTTTTTCGGTGGTGGAGAACCTTCAGAGGCTGTGCTACATGGGGCTGCTACAGTTTGGTCCCACGGAAAAGTTTCAGGATAAAGATCAGGTAATGTCTCTCAAGTCGAAACGAAGGAGATTCTGATTGTTTAACAGTCTCCAAGCAGCCAAACCCAATATGGGTTCTCCCTGTCTGGTGTCTCCCGTTAGGTCTTTATCTTCTTGAAGAAGAATGCAGTCATTGTTGACACCACCATCTGCGACCCACATTACAACCTGGCGCGCAGCAGCCGGCCCTTCGAGAGGCGCCTCTATGTCCTGAACTCAATGCAGGATGTGGAAAACTACTGGTTTGACCTGCAGTGCGTCTGCCTCAACACCCCACTAGGTGGGTGTCGGCTGTTTCGCCTGGATCTGGCTGCTTTTGCTCCTTCTGTGTGCTAACTGGGATTTAGGGCTAGAAAAGCCTAGGAGTCGCCTCGACCAGTGGTGTGTTCCGAGTGCTCCCCAGAGGCCCAGAGCACCCCTGGGGCTCCCTCAGAAAGGAGAGTGGTGGGCCTTGAATGGGTGGGGTGCTCCCAGTTCCCCCACCCAGTTGAGCCCAGGTAGCTGCACTTTGTCTTCATTTGTTCGTTGAGTGGGTATTTATTAAACACCTGCTGTGTGTCACTTCCTCTGCCTGACCATGCTGCAGTGAGGACACACCCCACCCTGCCTCCATGAGACTTGGAATCTAGTGTGAAGAGGAGACACAGCTCACAGGAGTGCGATGAGGGCCCGGGTGTTGGTTGCAGGGGTGTTTATTCCAGGGCTCAGGAGCAGCCTTGCTGTGGAGGAGACATTGGAGCTGAATCCTATAGGATGAGGCAGAGCCAGGGCCAGAGCTGGGGAGGGCATCCCAGGCAGGGGCAGTGCCACAAGCTGAGGCCCTGAGTGGTATGTTGGAAAAAGAGAGGAGGCCATGTGGGTGGGAGGAGAGTGGCATCCACTGGTGACAGTGGGGAGGACAGGGCAGGACTAGAGGTGTTTTGGAGGGAACTGACACGATGTGCTGGTGACTTTGCTGAGTTGGGCTTTGCTGGGAGCCTCTGCCCACACCCCTCTCCCTCCCTAGAAGGGCCCTCCCTCCCTCACTTGCTTCTCAGATGCCCACTCCTACTTCAGGCATCACCTCTCAGAGAAAGCCTGTCCACAGCTTTATTAGCATCATTCCATTTTATCCTGTGAGTTCCTCGTGTTTAGAATAGTTGGCTTCCATCGCCACGATGTGTCGCAAAGGCCGGGTGCACAGTTGGCTTCCTGTAAATGTGGATCAAATGCATGGAGGGTCTGCAGAAAGCAAGAGCGCCTCCCCTGCAGTGCTTTTCCTCCAGGCCTCTCTCCACCTGGCCTTTTCCTGCCACCTCTACCAGGAGGGAAAGGAAATCACGTTCAGCTTGCACCTCCAAGAGGAGTTCCATTCTGCTCCTCCCTTCTTGAAGCTGGAAGATCCAGTATCACATTTTGATTTTTGCAAAGTGGGAGTCACACATTTTACTTGGCAGAATTATTTAATGCCAAGAGTAATAGCACTTGTATTTAGAAACTTTCATGGGTCCAGACATATTTTAGAACATTGTGTTTCATAGAATCCTCGGCATTCAGCAGTGAGCTAGGCTTTTGCCAATTTAGATTTTAATAATGCCCTAATTCCCCTGCATTTTATATGTAGATAAAAATTTGTGAACCAGCATGAATTTGCACCAGAGTTTTTCAGTCCTGACAATTGGTGAATTTCCATCCCTTTAGGTGTTCATGAGCAGAAATGGCAGAGGCTTATTGAGCCCATTAATCAGGCATTGATTATCCCTTCATTCAATAAACATTTGAAGAGGTTCTGCCCCAAGGACGAGGGAAAAAGCATCATATAATGAGATGCAATCATCTTTTAGAGTAGGTGCTGCATGAACATTAGCCTGCGTAAGAATCACCTGAGGAACATATTAAATGCTGATTACTGGGCCCTACCCGGAGAGTCTGCGTTTTTCACAAGCAGACTTGTGCTGCTGTTATTTATATGAGAAGCTTTGCCTTAAATACTGTTAGTTTCAAGGGTCCATTCAAACGGGTGACCTCGGGCAAGCTACTTGTAACCTCCCTGAATCTTAGTTAATTTCTAAGCTGAGAACTCCACTGCCACCACCATATGGGCCAAGGTGAAGTTGGGCAAGGCGTCTCATGTAAAGTTCCAGCTGCGGGGTGTGGGGCTTGAGCTCCCACGGCCCAGGCCCCACCAGCCATGCCATCGAGTCGAGGTCTCCGAGCATGCTAGAAGAGGAGAGTCTTTAGAGTCTACAAACCTTCCCTCACCTATCAAGCAGTGCTTTTAGTGGTATCTTATATTTCTTTGCAAGAAATGCAATTTTCTGTATTATAGAATAACTGGATATCATTTCTCAACTCCATTAGCAAACCTCTTGAGCACTTAGGAGACATCTGGCTGCTCCTGGAGCCAGGTGGGGCCCAGGCCTGCTTCATGCAGTACATCTCAGCAATCTATCTATGCAGGCCCCTCCCCATTCCTGCCTCCACCAGCAAGGGCCGTCGTTTCTGCCACCCTGGCGCCAGCAGCTCCCGGGACTTTCTGAGAGACAGGAAGGCCTGGGTTTCCCTTGCGCTAGACTCCCTGAGCCTGCCGGGCTCTCTCTACTGCCTTGCCTGCCTTCTGTCTTTAGTGAGTTCAGTCTGGCATAAACCCTTTCCTCAGGTCACCCACCAGTACTCCAACTCTCTTCCTCTGTTCCCTCTGACTTTCTTGTATGGATATTTTGTATGAAGAGGTCTTACCAATCTCAGACCTCCCAATGGCCAGGGAGCCTTTTCATAGGCGGGGAATCCACTCTTCTTCCCCACTCAGCCACAGGCAGTAGCCACCAGAGCTGCAGCAGGAAGGTGTGATCAGTCACCCTGATGTTTGGTTTTCCAGGCGTGGTGCGCTGCCCGCGCGTCAGGAAGAACAGCAGCACAGACCAGGGCAGCGACGAGGAGGGCAGCCTACAGAAGGAGCAGGAGAGCGCCATGGACAAGCACAACCTGGAGCGCAAGTGCGCCATGCTGGAGTACACCACGTGCGTGTCCGTCCCAAGCGCGGCCAGCCGGGACTGGGCTGCGGTGGTGCTCATTTCAGATGCCTGCCGGCCCTTGTCTGGCTTAGGATGTCAGGCCAGACGGCCTGTGTCTCTGGTGCAGAGGCTGCAGATGGCTAGCTCCAGACATACTTTATTTAGCCCACATCTTGTTTTTAAAAATGTAATCAGTTATCAAAATTTATTTTAGGAATTTTATATAAAAATCTGGATTTTTGACTTATCTTGCAAAAGTGAAAAAGAGTCAACACTTAGGGCCCCCAAATTCTTCATTGCTACCTCTGGGGTGTTTTTCTGGAAAGGTGAAAGTTGGTTATAAATAATGTCCCTCACCCCAAGCCATGGGCTCTCTTTTTCAGTGATGACCAAGAAGCGTTCTTTTCTGTTGATTTCCTGTCTTTTAGTGGAAGTCGTGAGGTGGTGGATGAAGGTTTGATCCCCGGAGATGGGCTGGGTGCCGCAGGGCTTGATTCCAGCTTCTATGGACACCTCAAGCGCAACTGGATCTGGACCAGCTACATCATCAACCAGGCCAAAAAGGTGGGCATGTGTCACAACGGACCACAATCTCAGGGGTCCTCGCTACTCACCCTCCTGTCCCTCCCTGCCTGACCAGAGACACAAATACTGGCTTCTGTATTGAAAGTGCATCAGGCCCCTCAAATGTGTGCCTGGCCTGTTTTTTTCCCAGTGGATTCTAACTTACTCTGTGACGTGGACAGGTATTCCTTTTTAAAGAAGGATCAGAAGATCTGGGTGACACAGGTCCTCCAGGAGGGAGTACATGAGCAATGGTAAAGCGGGTGGCAGGAGACTCCAGCCCCTGGCTGTCGGTGCACAGCGGCCCTTAGCTCCTAAGAGACCTTGGTGCATTTGTTACTCCGGGTGGCTGGAGATTCGTGGAAGCTCATGCTTCATCCCAGTGCTGTGCTTGTCTCACAGGAGAACACTGCCGCAGAGAACGGACTCACAGTGAGGCTCCAGACGTTTCTGTCTAAGCGCCCATTGCCTCTCAGTGCCAGAGGTACGTGTGCTGAGGGTTCACCCCAGAAGTAAATACGGTACCAGTTCAGGGCCTAAACGACCACCCTATGTTCAGTTTGGTCTTCCTGTCCTTTATAGCACTCATCCTGAAACTGTTGTCTCCTGTGATTATGTCTAGGCAACAGCAGGTTGAATATTTGGGGGGAAGCAAGAGTAGGCTCTGAGCTCTGTGCTGACTGGGAGGAGCAGTTTGAGGTGGACCGAGAGCCCTCGCTGGACCGAAACCGGAGAGTGAGGGGTGGGAAAAGCCAGAAGCGGAAGCGGCTGAAGAAGGACCCTGGGAAGAAGATCAAGAGAAGAAAGAAAGGTTAAGTTGTGATCATTTACATTTACTGGGTCTTGTCTTTACATTTTGGCTTGGAGACATGCAACAGCCTCACTCCAGCCGAGCCTGAGCTCTGTCCTTCAACGCGAGTTTCCACCTTCCCTTGATGTGTGGCACTGACTCTCTGTGATGGTTGCTTTATTTCCACATCCATCTGGCAGACAAGAGAGCCTCGAGTGTCCCATATGCTTCCCTTTTAGAGCTTCTGACTTTAGGAACTCATTCAGTTCAAATGCCTAGTTTCATCTCAGCTGAAAAAATGTCAGCAACAGCCTCATCACAACTAGCCCAAATCCTAATTTTGGGGGGGGGGGTTTACCTTTTAATATCTGTGTTTATGCTAATCAAGCCAAAGTTCAAAGGCATGTTGCATTTTAATTTTTAAATTTTTATTTTTTTGCGTCAGTCTCACTCTGTCGCCCAGGCTAGAGTGCAGTGGTGTGATCTTGGCCGACTGCAACCTCTGCCTCCTGGGCTCAAGCAGTTCTCCTGCCTCAGCTTCTTGAGTAGGTGGGATTACAGGCGTATGCCACCATACCCAGTTAATTTTGTATTTTTAGTAGAGATGGGGTTTTGCCGTATTGGCCAGGCTGGTCTCAAACTCCTGACCTCAAGTGAGCCACCATGCTGGGCCCGTTACATTTTTAAATTAGAGGGAAGCTGGGAGTCGCGTAAGCCTGCAGCACCTTCTGATTTGATGCACCCCTTGTATGGTGCCTTTTAGACTGCCATTTTGAGTTCTTCAGCCAGCCAGTATTTGTAGCAGAGGGGGTGATAAGGAGACCAGCGTCTAGTTTCTCGACCACTTTTGTATTTCCTAAGTGGTTCACGAGTTTTAACAGCAGCCAGTGATGGCCGGTAGCTATTTCAGATAAAGACAGAATGTTTAAACAGGAACCTGTTTTTAGTGGTTTATTTGGCTGGCATTCATAACAAATAGCATTCCATCAGTTGAAATGGCCCCCTCAGTTTCACCTCTCGTAGATATGTGTAGCACCAATTTGGCTCAAAAACCAGAATTTATCACAATGCAAAATGTGATGGTGTCTCTTCGAGTCCAAATTTCCTTGCCCCACTTTTCTTCTGCCTTAATTTGGAAGACACTCGCTCAACAGCCTTTTGAGATTGGCAGTGGCATATGGTGTCTGTCCTGTGAAGGTGCTATCAGTACCTCGCCTAGGCAGGAGACCTTGGCAACCCCATGGCTACGCTCTCAAGGTTCAGATCCTCCCTCTGCTGCTGACTCAGCTGACTCAGCTGTGTGACTTCAGCAAGTCACTGTATGTCTCTGTGTTCCTCAACAAAAAACAGTGATAACAATTGTATCCATTTCATAAGGTTGCTATAAAGTAGTATTCTAAGATAATACATTGAAAAAGCATAAACCAATGCTAGGCACACAGTGAATATTCCCTGATGGTAGATTGCTGCTTTGGTGGTGGTGGTGGTGGTGGTGCTGTTTAGTTATTAAGTACACAGATCTCACTGCTGATGTTAGTTATTTAGTAGCCACCACTCTGTGCTGGATGTTTTATATGCAGTCTCCTTCCACCCTCTCCATGGCCCTGGAGCAGAGGCCTTATTGTCCCCAGATGCACTCAAGTCTACACAACGCCTGTGCAGTCACAGAGCAAGGGAGTGTGGGGGCCCGGTGACTGCACAGTCCCTGGTCCTGCTTACTTGGTGGATACGCCCCGAGCACGCGCCATAGGCTTCTGTACAAGATGCCTTCAAAGGACTCTGTCACAGTGGGGGAGATTGGAAACTGGCAGATAACTAACTAGAGGCTGCATTGAGCCTTCCAACCTGTGCCTGTGAAATTTTATCAAGATAAATGATGAAAGGGGTTTAAAAAGAAATAAAATCTATCAAAAGGGTTGAGTCTTTTGCAGTTAGTTGTGTGACTTTAGACACAATGGGTAATAACCAATACCATTAGTCACATCTCACTGGCTGGGTAGGGACCCTGCCCCTCTGCAGAGTGACAGCTCCAAACCAGGTGTTAGAGGCCTCCTCCCTTCTCCCTCTGGTGTTTTTAGGAGAGTTCCCAGGAGAAAAAAGCAAAAGGCTGCGCTACCATGATGAAGCCGACCAGAGCGCCCTGCAGCGGATGACGCGGCTTCGCGTCACCTGGTCCATGCAGGAGGACGGGCTGCTCGTGCTGTGCCGCATTGCCAGCAATGTCCTCAACACCAAGGTACCAACCAGCCCAGCCCAGAGGTGGGCCTGCCCCTCTCTTGGAGCTCCTTCCTGTCTGAGCCTCCCGGGGACTCCCAGCCAGGGACCACTCCTCTCAGCTGCTCTGCTTGGCCCCTGGGAAAAGCATTGCCCAGAATCCTACACGTTTTCTTTTTTAGAGAGGTGGAGCCTCACTTTTTCACCCAGTCTGGAGTGCAGTGGCACGATCACAGCTCACTGCATCCTCAACCTGGCCTTAAGTGATCTTCCCACCTCAGCCTCTCCTGGTCCTGGGACTACAGGCGCACCCTGCCATGCCCAGCTAATCCTACAAATTAATACCATTCTGTTTTTCTACATTTCTTTTTAGCTTTCAGTTGTATACATATAAATGTTTGCCTAGCTGCAGGCAAACTAGTTCAGAGCTATTCTTTCTCTCTCCTCACCAGGCATCTAACCCTGTACTGCTCCCTTCCTCCCACCTTCATTGCCTGAAAAGCTCCTATTTACCTTCCTATAACTGCCCATCATGTCTGGAACGATCTGCCAATTGCATGTCATTACCCTGCTCTTTCTCTGTTCTTGACCGGATACTTCTCACACTGTTTCTGTCACCTCTGGTACCTCTTGGCTCACTGGCGTGGCTGGTCCACAAGGCAGAAAGACCTCCTATTTGCATTCCAGGAAAAAGCTCTGCCAGGCCAGTCCAGGGCCCCTTCAGGCAGTAGTGCCACAAGGCAGCGTCAGAGGAGCCCAGGTGTGCCTCCGGGTCTCAGCCAGGCCAGGCAGGAGAAACCCAGCTGAGGCTCTGTGCCCAGATGCTTCTTGCCTGCAAACTATTAGATCCCTTGTCTTGACCGCTTATCCACTGTTCTCTCATCCCTCAGTCCTCTCCTGAATTCCAACCCAACCTCTTTTCCAAGGAAGAACCTGAAAGGTGACATGTTGTCATCCCTAATTTCTGTTCCCTGCATCTGCAATGGCTTTGTCATTGCAGAGCTGATGGGGGAGAGGGGCGTCCCTCCCTCTACTTCAGCCCTGGTACAGCTAGAGGAGGCAGGAGGGTCCTGCATAGGTCAGTGTTGGTGGACTCTCACCACTTACCGGAACTTATAGCCTTCTTGGGTCACCTCATCCTTGGGGATGTAAGAAAATAACTGTCATCAAGCGGCTTCTCATGTCGGCCTTGCCTTTCTGTGTTATTGACCAAGATGTTCTCCTAGGTCTGCTAATTTTGTACATTCTGCTTCTACTAACGTGGCATATAAGCACAACATACAGAACGTTTCTGAGCACACATGATGTATAATTAGGACACTAAGACCTCTAACTAAACACATTTTACATCCCCATGATTTCCTCTAATACAGCGCCCTTTCAGGCAGTTCTCCCTTGCTCCTCTGGGCACCTTTGTCACACATGGCACTTGCCAGAATACACTCTTTCCCGCTGGTCACTGAGGCCTCGTCCCGTGTTTGTCTGCCCAGAGTCTCCCTCAGTGTCTGGCACATGGTGGGACCAGTATATATTGTGAGGTGATAGTTGTGGGGATTCTCTGAGGAAGGAGGCTGCACAAAACACATTTTGTCCACTTTTTAATGGTAATTCCCCAGGACGTGGGCTCTGAGGATACTGACTTTTTGTCTTGGCTCTGTGTTTGATCCAGGTGAAGGGCCCATTTGTCACCTGGCAGGTGGTACGGGACATTTTGCATGCCACGTTCGAAGAGTCTTTGGATAAAACATCTCATTCCGTTGGACGAAGAGCTCGCTACATAGTCAAAAACCCACAGGCCTATCTCAACTATAAGTAAGCCTCATTGAAGCCTGATCACTCTTGGACGTGGTTACGTCAGCACTTCTCATTCATTCTTTACTCTTCCTTCATCCCGTTTGCTTAAGAGTCTGGCAGAAAGTGCGGCTGGAGCACACTGAGGCATCTGATGGGGTGGCCAAGTGTTGGAGTCTGTTGGGGAGATGGACCTTGGTTTTTTGAGGGTGAGGGCCAAGCATGATTCTCAGTGCTTTCCCATGCAAGGTATTGCTTGGACCTTATAGTGGCCTTGAGAAGTAGGTGGTGTTAGCCTTTATTTGGATGAAGAAGCAGAGACTAGATAGGCTGACTCGCTGAATACCATGTGCCTAGCAGGTGGTGGAGGCAGAGGCAGAGGCTGGCTTTTCCTGCTGTTTTCGGCCCTCAGAGCAGCTCCTGAGAGCTCTGATTGGTGGCTCTCTCCAGCAGCAAGCTAGGCAGGACCTGGGATCATTGGACAGGATGCCCTCTACCATGTTCTTGGCAGAGCTGAGAACTGTCCTCCTGCCCCGCCCTTGTTGTGTGTGTGACCTCAGGGAGTCCCCTCGCCTTATCAGGCTGTAAAGTGGAATGAGTCTCTACCTGGCAAGCTCTTTATGAAGGCAGCAGTGCTTGGCGGATGGGAGCCCAGCAAAGGCTGGTCGCCTTCTCCTGCATTTTCTTTTGGGCAAGTCAGGCTCTCCTTATATCATGGGGATGTGAAGGTTAGTGGAGTGGACACACCTCCTGCTTTGCAGTAGATTAGAGAACTTAAGAATAATAAACTGCAAAGCCTGTTTGGTGTTTTTAAATGTATGATACACTTTCACGTAGGTCAGCCCATATGGTCCTGGCCAAACCCCTGTGAGAGACACTTTGGGACTCAGTGTTCTCGGCTACCCATGAAGGACGGAAGTTCAGGGAAGCCAAGGTGTAAAGTATGAACAGACCTGACTGAGGTCAGGCTTGGCTGACCCCAAATCCTTTGTTCTTAAAAGCTGCAGTCGCGCAACAGGCATATAAGTAACTCATGCTTCACGGTCAACCAAGGCCAGAAATGTGAGAATGGAGCTCTCTGAAGTTTCCGAACACGGCATCATTACAATTCCCAGACTCCAGCTTTGTCTCCTCTTCCTGCAGGGTGTGCCTGGCCGAGGTGTACCAGGATAAAGCGCTTGTTGGAGATTTCATGAATCGAAGAGGTGACTACGATGACCCAAAGGTAGGTCCTGTGTGGGTGTAGGGCTCGGCCTGCTTGGAGGTTGGGGCATCTAGACTTCGGTCAGCTCCTCTCGTCCCACAGTGCCCCTGCCAGCCTTAGGAACGTGGACTTTGTTTCCTGCTCACTTGAGAAATCACTGAGTCAGCTCTCTGGTGTTGGCCTTGACTTGATCTGGCTTCAAGCATCTGTTTTTAAAGATGATCAGAATCTGACAGGCCACTTTGAAGGGCTGCTGTGCCTTGGGCCTGTTTTGTTAAGAAAATAGAACATCTCTTCAGAAATTACAGGCTTCCTAGAAAGCTTGCAGACTGGGTGTGTGTTTTCTTTCTGAGTTTTCTGTCCTGAGGGCCCAGGGTGGTGGCTGACAAGGAGGGAAGCAGTCTGCTGACCCAAATTCCTGCCCTTTGCCTCAGAGGCTGCTCATCTTTCGTTTTTGTGCTAACCCTGGACTCTACAGTGTGTGTGGCAGGACTTGTGCCAAGTAAGGCCAGTGGACAAGGAGAGGCAGCCTTTTCCCCAAGGAAGCCACAGGCAAGTGGGACAGACAGAGAAGTACATGGTCATTGCAGGACAGTGCAGTCAGCTCCTGGAAGAGGAAGGCACAGGCCCGCAGAGGTCGGGGAGCAGGCTCAGCAATGCTTTTGGATGGAAGTGACAGAAAAACCTAACCTAATGGTGTATATGGCTCCCTTTTTCCCAGATGCCAAGCAGTTGAGGGTAGTCCTGGTCTGGTGCAGGGGAGCAGAGATGTTATCAGGCTCCTAAGTTCCTGCTGCCACACTCCCCTCCAGGAGCAGGGGCCAGCTTTCCATCCTATGCCAGTGACCCCCTGGTTGCAAATGTTGACTATGAGAGCTCAAGTCCTCACAACAGAATCCCAGAACAGGAAGCAGTGGGGAGAGGGGCTGCAATAGACCCACATGGCCCTTGCCTCAAGGGGCAGCCTTTCCTAGGAGCCCCTGGCAGACCTGGGCCACGCGGCTGGGAAACAGTGGGACACAGCACAGGGGACCCAGGCTGCCATGAGTGGCTTAAACTGTCCTGGTGTATCCTAGGAGGCTGGGCATCCTCCCTCCCCACAGCAAATTGAGGCTGGCTAATCAGAAAGCATGGGGAAAAATGGAATAGGTGACCCACAGACACCCACAGTGTCTGCCAGCGGGCTTGGCAAAGGTGTCAGCACTGGGCGAGACTGGAAACCACAGCAGCTGGGGTAGTGACAGTAAGGGGTGAGGGAGTGCAGGGCTGGCAGGCACAGCATCAGGATAGCAGCGAGATGCAGCAGGGACCACGTCCTGCACAGCCACCAGGCCAGGGAGGAGCGGGAGCATACCATGTCGCGCATTGCACACCGGGTGACGTGACCAGCTTGCTCCTCAGATCTGGGTCTGGACTGAGACGATTGCAGTGCGCGTATAGAGGAGGAAATTGATTTGGGGGCCACCCGTGGAGTGTGAGGCTGGGGCAGAGGAAGAAGGCTGACTACACGGGTGAACCAGGGAGCACCAGGCCTGGGAGGGAGGCTGTGAGGGAGCACTGTGTGGGGCACGTTTGAGTCTTCTCACCTGGGACTTGGGAGAGTGCCAGCGATGCAGGTGTGAGGCTGTCTGCAGGTTAGTTGGCACCAGGTGCCCCAGTTTCCTGAGCGTGCTGGTGAGGGTCTTTTGCCTCCTCTATAGACCAAGCTTCTCAGATGACAGGTGACAGATGACAGGTGCCCGGGGGAGGCACCTGGTCGGTGGTTCTCGGACTTAGCTGGTGCAGGAGTTTGTTACAAGATGTTCCTTGGTGCATCTTAGCAAAACCTCCCTTCAGGAAGAGTAAGGGCTTAACCTCTCATGCTCTCATGTTGAAAGGTTTGTGCCAACGAGTTTAAAGAATTTGTGGAGAAGCTTAAAGAAAAGTTCAGTTCAGCCCTAAGGAATTCTAACCTTGAAATCCCAGACACACTGCAAGAGCTGTTTGCCAGGTAAGTGGCTTCTGGGATGGTTCCATGTGGCCCTCGCAGGGCAAGAGGGAAAGGCCAGCCCTGTATCCCTTATCAGCAGGTCCGGGAAGTGCCCAGCACCCGCCTGGCTGCGTTTGGCCTTGCAGTGGCCCTCCTGTCTCTCCTCTCATGGGTGACTTGAACACACAGTGGGACCTAGCACCCTGCCGGGCATTTATGTTCATTCTCCCATTGGTCCTTCAGGCTTCCTTGTTTGGTTGGTGTACTTTTTGCTAAGCTTGCTTACTTTACCTATGAGGAAATTCCTATGTAAGAAACATGCCCAAGGTCACAGTGCTTGTAAGCATCAGGGCCAGGATTTGAACATAGGAGGGTCTGGAACCACTCGACGTTTGGAAGAACATTCTTGGGTATGAGCACAGAACCCTGTACAATTTTTAAATCCGAAGTTCTGTGAACTAGGCCTGTTTCCTCAGCATCTTCCAAATGTAGATCCCTTTTCTCCACTATCCTCACCCAAGAAGTCCCTTGAGCCACTGTTTTTCTGAATTTCTCCTTGTAAAATGATGGCATCCATCAGTTCTGCCTGTGAACTGTACAACACCCTTGCTCTCAGCATTTCAGTTGAAGACCTCATTCCTTCATTCACTCAACAGATAATGTATGTTGCGCCCACTGTATTGCCGTGCCTAAAGAGCAGTTTGTACTCGTTTTCAGAGTTGATCTCCTTTACCCACATTCCGAGTTTTGTTTTTGGTTTGCAGTAAACTGTTCCCCAGAATTCCCAAATGGCATGGTTTCAGGTCAGTCCAATGGCCTGTTTACTGATTTGTAATTTATATCTCCACATATTCTTAGTAAAGTTATGGGGCAACTTTTAATCATAAAAGAAGACAGAGATTTTTAAAGGAGAGTCCATGAACCATTTAGAGAGAAGAAAAAGTTGCAAGTGTAACAGTTTAATACTGATTGTGATCCTGAGCATTCTGGCAGGCAAGGCAAAATAGAAAACGGTTCCAAGCCAGGCGTGGGGGCTTACGCCCATAATCCCAGCACTTTGGGAGGTTGAGGCAGGCAGATCACCTGAGGTCAGCAGTTCGAGACCAGCCTGGCCAACATGGTAAAACCCCGTCTCTACTAAAAATACAAAAATTAGCCGAGTGTGGTGGGCACGTGCCTGTAATCCCAGCTACTTGGGAGACTGAAGCAGGAGAATCACTTGAACTCAGGAAGCAAAGGTGGTTTTCACATTTTTCTGAAAAGTATTTTTCTTGGCACTAAATTATAAGAGGAATTTACTGTTGCAATCAAGATTAATTTTTCCTTTGGTTTAGTAGAAAATGAAGAAATGTCCTACAAATGGCCAATTTGCCATATTTTATAAAAAGACAATTCTATGATTTATTCTTAAATTTACTTGCATGGTATAAATACAGTAAAATAATATTACATGAAACTCAAAAAAGAAATGGGGAAATAGTTTGTAATTCCAACACCTAATATGGCTACTCTTTGGGGATTTTCATATTTCTTTGTTTTAATTGATGAATAATAATTTTATATATTTTTGGGGTACAGTGTGATGTTTTGATATATGTGTCCATTGAGGAAAGACGAAATCAAGTTAACTAACATATCTGTCGCCTCACCAACTTCTTTTTTTGGCAATAAGAACCTTAAAAATCTATTTAGTAATTTCAAAATATGTAATATGTCCTTAACTGTGGTCACCATGCAGTTTGAAATCATGAAAACTTATTCCTCTGGTCTAACTGTAACTTTATACCCTTCGCTCTACATCTTTCCTTTCTTCATTCCTTCCCTTCCACTTCCCAGCCTCTGGGGACCACCTTTTTCCTTTTTCTATGAGAATAATTTTTTTAGATTACTTCTGGGACATTTTCTTCCTTTTGCTTTTTCTTTTTGGATTGTAACACACCCGCAGTTTTAAATCCTGTTCCTTTTACAATTAACAGTGGATCTTTGCCAATTCACATTTTTCCGTGTTGCCACATAATTGTCAGTAGGTGAACACTGCACATTTTCTCAGCCCTCCTTCTACCAGGCAGAACAGGGTATATTCACATTTTAATTTACATGTACAGCGCTCGACTTTTGGTGAGTTCAACATTTCTCCCACTCCCAACACTTTAGCCAATAATGGCCATCTTGAGTCAGCATCCGCTTGCTTAGTGAGGAGCTGCTTTGTTTCATTGACATGTTCTTATGTTTCTTTTGCAGGTACCGAGTTTTGGCAATTGGGGATGAAAAAGATCAAACCAGGGAGGAGGATGAACTTAACAGGTAAGTGCTGATGTATAGAGTAGCTTTTCCTCAGCTACTTAACTTGGTGGCTGACAGCCTATTGCACTGGGGTAATCTAGGGCCAAATCCAGCCCACTACTTGTTTATGTAAATAAAATTTTATTGGCACACAGCCATGCCCATTCTGTATGTTGTCTGTGCTGCTTTTATGCGAGAACATCAGAGGTGAGTACAGTTGACCTTGAACAACTTGGGGGTGAGGGGACGCCGACCCCCTGCACAGTCAAAAATCCACATAGAACTTTTTTTTTCTTTTGAGAACGGAGTCTTGCTCTATTGCCTGGGTTGGAATGCAGTGGTTTGATTTCAGCTCACTGCAGCCTCTGCCTGTTCGATTCAGGCAATTCTCATTCCTCAGCCTCCCAAATAGCTGGGATTACAGGCGCCTGCCACCACACCCAGCTAATTTCTGTATTTTCAGTAGAGACGGGGTTTTTCCGTGTTGGCCAGGCTGCTCTCGAACTCCTGGCCTCGAGGGATCTGCCCACCTCAGCCTCTCAAAGTGTTGGGATTATAGGCGTAAGCCACCACTCCTGGCCCCACATGTAACTTTCGACTCCCTAAACCTAACCACTGATAGCCTACTGTTGACCAGAAACCTTATCAATACCAAACAGTTGATTAATATATATTTTGCATTTTATATGTATAATATACTGTACTCTTACAAGAAAATAAGCTAGAGAAAAGAAACTATTAACAAAAATAAGGGGCTGGGCACAGTGCCTCACGCCTGTAATCCCAGCACTTTGGGAGGGCACTGCGGGTGGATCACCTGAGGTCAAGAGTTCAAGACCAGCCTGGCCAACATGATGAAACCCCATTTCTACTAAAAAATACAAAAATTAGGTGGGCATGGCAGGCGCCTGTAATCCCAGCTGCTTGGGAGGCTGAGGCAGGAGAATCACTTGATCCCAGGAAACGGAGGTTGCAGTGAGCTGAGATCATGCCATTGCACTCGAGCCTGGGTGACATGAGCGAAACTGTCTCAAAAAATAAACAAAATTAGGAAGAGAAAATCTGTTTACTATTCACTAAATGGAAGTAGATCATCTTAAAGGTCTTCATCCTTGTCGTCTTCATTTTGAGTAGTCTGAAGGGACACAGGAAGAGGAGGGGTTGGTCTTGCTGTTTCTAGGGTGGCAGAGGTGAAAGAAAATCCGTGTGTAAGTGGATCTGCACAGTTCAGTCCACAGTGCAGAAGGGTCAGCTATAGTTGCAACAGATTCCACAGAGCCCATCAAGACTAAAGCATGTATTAACTGGCCCTTTAGAGGAAAAGTTGCTGACCCCCCAGCCTTGACTATCACTGGCCAAGCCTTAACGTAGATTGAGGAAAGGATTTAAACTCTCAACCCATGAGCTTTCCAAGCAAAACTCAGTTCCAAAAGCTCAGGTTTTGTTTTTCCCTCTTGGATAATCAATAGTCACTTTGATTTTAGCTCTGTAGAGAAGTACTAACTACGTTTGTTAGTGGTCATGTAAACCCATTCCGAGTAGGTCACCCCCTGTCCACTAAATAGAAACTTTTCTCCTGCAAAAATGGACCTGTTAGTAAAGCCTAGAAACCATCATTTATTGTGTTTTCTTTTGTGAAGTTTTGGCATTTGTGTCCCTTTTGTGAGATTCAAGATTTTTTCCCTAAGAATTGTATCTGCCTGAGCTGAGTGGTGCCTGTGGCCTTATGGTGCCCTGCCGCCCCCTCTCTTTCAGCGTGGATGACATCCACTTTCTGGTGCTCCAGAACCTGATCCAGAGCACGTTGGCCCTCTCGGACAGTCAGATGAAGTCCTACCAGTCATTCCAGGTGGGTACCGGCTGCCTAGCTGCACAGCAGGGATGTGGACCCTTCCGAGGCCAGCCTCGTGAGGTGCTGGCCCCTGCCCTTCTCTGCTGTGGGCTCTCAGGGGCTGATTCCCCCAACATGCCGGCCCACACGTCCTTCAACTTTATCTTTTTATCGTTGTTTTATTTGTATTTATTTGTGTTTATTATGTGTGTTTATGGTATACAACTGAAGGATTTGATGTACGTATACATTGCAGAGTAATCGCCACAATCAAGCCAATTAGCACATACATCCCCCTACACAGTAGCTTTTCTTGTTGTGGTGAGCACGCTTGGCGCTCTCTCCTCCTGGTGCATTTCAAGTGTACAGCATCGATTGTCACCTGTCATTACCAAGCTGTGATCCTCCAGGGCTTAGCATCTCATAGAACTGAAGCTTCGCACCTCTTGGCCAGGTTCTCCTCATCTCTCTCTTTGGTTTTTAAAGTGTGGGGATGGGATCCAGTGACCTCCACCATCCCTCCCAGAGCTGAGGTTTTTAAGTCTCATGTTTAAGACAGAAGATGAAGCAGGGGAGGAAATGAGGCATGGCAAAGGACCTGAGAAAGTAATTGAGCTGTACGGCGTAGCTTTTCAAATCATCACTTTGGAATGCCAAGATATTCTGGTTGTGGGAGGTCACTGGATGGGAAAGCTGCCCTCCCGTGGGCAGTGAGTCATCTGTCTCCCGAGGACACAAGTCCACGTGGCCACTCTGCTGCGGCTGAAGGAAGATGAGAGTGAGGAAGAGAAATCACATTGAACCCCCGGTGGAGCCCAGGAAGTCAGTTAAATCACACGCCCGAGACCACATAGCTCAGTCAGTCATCACCCAAGACCCCAACAGAGAGGTGTTGAGGGGCCCCAGCCAGTGCCACCCAGGGCCTCGTTCTCCCCCAAGTCATCACAAAAGGAAATTCTAAGGAGGACCCATTCATTTTGTATTTAATCACTAACCCTAAAAATCTGCTCCTGGCTTACATTAACAAGTTACCTGATTTGGAATATGAGGGGAAAAAAGAATGAGGAAACAAAGGGACTTTCCTAGTCCTGCTGATGAATTCAGCTGGGTGAGGGCCTGATCATCAGGGCGCCTCAGAGTCCACAGAGAGATCTTGTAGCATGTGGAGCCCAAGCCCTGTCCTCAGAGACTCCAGTCAGGAGCAGCGGAGTGGGGCCCTGATAAGAGTGTGCCATCCCTCCTCCAGTCCCGAAGGGGCCCATGGGCCACCCTTGCAGAAACAGCAGTGTCGACCCTGCTGGGGCGCTGCACGTGCTTGTTACTTTGGCCACAGCAGGGCAGGGAGGACAGGGAAATGGAGCTGCTTCACGAAAATGCCAGGCTGGGCTTGAATGCCCTGCCTCAGAGCAGCACCCAGGCCCTAGTGTTTAACAGCCATGGCCAGGCCTCAGCACACCCAAGACTGAGTGTGCATTTGATTTCTCCTGTTTTCGTCACCACCTGGAGGTTCTCTGTGCCTCCTGCAGGGACACATAGGACCATCAATCAGAGATGCCCAAGAAATGTCCTCCATACCCTTGCCGTGCATCCCTTGAACCCCATGTTTTATTTCCTCGGGCCTGTTTTACACTTATGGTCAGGTGTACACATTTGGGGTGGAAGGCTAGCGTCTGTGCCATGCACCCGTCTGCCACCCCAGCATTTTGTAGATGAAAGCAAAACCCTGTCTGAACCTGAACTTGCAGAGAAAAGAATAAATAGTTATCAGGTGAAGTTCCAAATAAACAGTCCACAGACCGCATTTTATTGGTCTCACACTTGTTTAAAAGGAAAACACAATTTTTTTTTCAAAAAATGTTTTTTCCAACGTTACACATAGGAGTCCAAATTTCCGACTTCTGGCTGTGGGGTGGGCCTTCCAGCTGTCCTGCTCATTAGTGGCTCAGAGCTGGAGGGGACTTTGGGGATCCTTCCCACTGTATCCCACCTCCAAACAAGAAAGCCCAGCCCCAGTGGCAAAAGCCGGGCCCCCTGCCTTCCAGCCAGGCCTGTCCCCAATATTATCCCACTGCTTTTTCCTCCAGTTCCATCTCCAGGTGGCACCTGGGCTCTTACGTTTGGTACTGAAGGCCTAGTCACTCTGCCTCAACCCCCAGGGGCATGGAAAGTCACCTTAGAAAGACCACCGGCCCGCATGGCCTCTCTCCCTGAGCAGGAAACAGGACACTTCTTTAGTGACTTCTTCAGTGACTCCTGAGTGAGGACTAGAAGGCCAACAGCAAAGTCAGAGCCCCATAGGGGACCCCGCGAGGCTCCCCTCAAGGTTCCAGGAAGCCAGTGGAAGGCTGCAGGTGGGCTCATTGTGCCTGTGACAACCCAGCCTCTTAGAAATGTGAGTGGGTGGACCACAGCCCCCAACTCATCACACATGGCCTGAGCGCTCCTATCCTGTTGTGTGGGAATACACCCATTCGCTAGTTATATTCAAATGGAACAGAAGATCAAAGGCACAGAAGGCTCGTCACAAGGAGTGAGATGCAGCTTCCTTCCAGTGCTGTAGGGAAGGATGATGGTGTAATGGCCACTCCCAGCTTCTCCCGTCCACTGCATGGAGAGTGTTTCTCCATAAGGCCTGATGGTCTGCATGCCCAGGATTGGCGCACAGGTGCTGTTTGGGGAAGCAGAGTTGCACAGGCTTCAGGCAGACATGCTCCAGGGAATACCTGAGTGCTGCCTCAGAGCCCCAGCTGACCACTGCACTGGTCCCCGGTCCCCTTGTGTCCCTCCACTGGAAGTAAGGTGCAGTGGTGAGGTTGCTCTTCTCTTCTCTGACCCACTCCTGCCTGACAGTGTGACCTGAGGATCACTTAAAGTCCGTGTGCCTCAGCCTTCTCTGTCACTCGAGGTCCTGGAGGCAGTGCCTAAAATCCTTAGACCATGATAGGGATTTTTCTCAGCCAGCACTTTTGAGGAGACAGTCCTGTAGGAGCTCTCTCAGAGGCTGGCAGATGCTAGATACTCAGGAACAGATCGTTGCTTGCCCTTTGCAGAAGCTTGGAGTAACAGAGACTGCTGACCGCACAGTCCTTTGAGGTGCTCATCCACTAGGTGGGGCCCAGGTCCACAAGACTTAGCAGGCTGAGCCATGAAGTCCCCATGATGTGTTCAGCAGAGGCACTTCCTTCCGCCTAGACACTGGGGTGGCAGCAGCAAGAGCTGAATCTAGGCCAGGCATGGTGGCTCACGCCTGTAATCCCAGCACTTTGGGAGGTTGAGGCACGATGATCACTTGAGGCCAGGAGTTAAAGACCAGCCTGGGTAACATAGCAAGAACCCCATCTCTACAAAAAATACAAAAATTAACCAGACAGTGCCTGTAGTCCTGCCTACCCAGGAGGCTGAAGCAGGAGGACTGCTTGAGCCAGGAGGTTGAGGCTGCAGTGAGCTATGTTGGTGCCACAGTACTCTAGCCTGGGCAACAGTGAGACCCTGGCTCAAAAAAAAAAAAAAAGGAGTTGAATCTGTGTTCTCCTGGGACTTCCAAACAATGAGTAAGCAGATGAGATCATTTCAGGTAGCTGCTATGGAGAAAATAAAACAGGATAATATAAGGCAGTTGACCGCAGAGGAGGAGAATGGAGAAGGATTTGTCATTTGAGGGGAAATATTTGGGCTGAGCCCTGAATGTTGAGGAGTCAGCCATGGAGAGATTTAGAGGAGCGGCAGGGCAAAGGTCCCAAGGTAGGATGCCTAGGCTTTTTCAAGAAATGTAAGAAGGTCCAGGAGGCTGGTGCAGTGAGCAAAGGGTGGTGTTGGGGGAGGTGAGGCCAGAGTGGCGGGTGGGCGGCCAGGGTCCCACTCATCAGGCTCCTTGTTGTGAAGGCCTGGTTGTGGTCACATCTGCAGAGGGAAGTCCTCGGGGGCTTTGAGGCAGGGCAGGAATGTGTGGTCTGATGTAGGCATCAAAGGATTACTTTGGCTGCTATGGAGAATGGTCAGGGGTTGGGGGAAGGTGACGTGGGGAAGGAGGGAGACCAGTCAGCTGGGGACGGTGGTGAGAAAGAGCAGTGGCATGATTAGATGGGCCAGTGCAGGTGGCATGAACCCAGTGCATTGGAAGGTAGAGCCCACCTGATGTGCTGATGGCTGGGTGGGAGGCCAGGGGACAGAGTGGTAGACCAGATGACTCTGTGTTGATTCCGTCTGTCTGCATCGAAAGAAGTCGGCTTGGGAGTGAATAGCCCCCGTCTCGTCAGTTCCCTGCCCTTTGTGGTCTCTGGAAGTGTGATGTGATGGTCCGAGAATTGGGATTGCCGACTTCCTCAGCACGCCTCCCCCCCATACACACACACACACACACACTGACACACACATACGCCAGCCTGGGCCTCCCACGATCGGTCACTTCCTCTATAAAGCATCATCAGCCTCTGCCTCTTGCCTCACTGTGTTGCAGACTTTCCGCCTCTATCGGGAGTACAAGGACCACGTTCTCGTGAAGGCCTTCATGGAGTGCCAGAAAAGGAGCTTGGTCAACCGGCGCCGGGTCAACCACACGCTGGGCCCCAAGAAGAACCGGGCCCTGCCCTTCGTGCCAATGTCCTACCAGCTATCCCAGACCTACTACAGGTGAGTACCTGTCAGGAGCCCTGGGTACTCCGAGGTTGAGCCACAAAAAGAGGAGCAAAGGAAGCATCGTGGCCATGAAAGCATGTAGGAGCCGGGGCCCCTCGCAGCCTCATGCGCAACACGCAGGCTCTGGGGTTTCCTGCAGTCCCTCTCCTCCTACCTGGTGTGGGGATCAGGTGAGTGCTAGCAGCATCTTTGTGTTGGTGGTGTTGCCATTTTGCAGGTGGTTTGTTTCCGTTTCTCCCATCAGATGGAGTGAAATCGGTTTTGAATTTAATAATTGGCCCAGCTGGAAGTTCACCCTCCAGTTCCAGCATAGCCTCAGTCCCTCTTCCGCGTAGCCCTGAGACCCAGGAAGTCTCCTGGGCCCATTCGCAGCACCAGCAGCCGGTGCGGGGTTGGGGTGCAGAGGTGCATTCAGACAGGCATCCTCCTGGGGCTCCTTCCTGAAACGCAGTGTGGCTTCATGCCGCAGAGGGCGTTGTACCACCAGCCTCCTGACCACATGCAGAGTCCCTGAGAACATTCCCAAGGCGCCACCTTGGCAGCTTCCCCTTCACACCGTTCTCCTTGCCCACCCTCAGGTCTGCACAGGGCTGCAGTCAGATCCTCAGAGACAGCACCATGAATCTTCTTTCAGTTCTTTGATACCATCCCTTGCCCGTGATGGCAGACACTTCCTCCTCCCCAAAGCCTCACCCAAATGACCTTCAGGCCTCTGGGAAGTAGGTGTGGCAGCAGAAGATACATGTCCAAGTCCAACAAGGCCATTTGTCACGGAGACACTGCTCTGACTGCATGTCCCCATCTGAACCGAGGGCAGTGGTCAGCAGACAAGGAAGGCCTTTTGGGTCCCTCCCTCTGACCCTGGTAGCAGGATCGTGGAATGTTGCTCTCTGGACAGAGCCGGGGAAGTGACTCACCAGGTGCTGCATGGAGACAGCTTGGGTACACGTGTGAGACCAGGGCTGGCTTTGTGCGGGGACTATTATTACAGAAAGCATGCTCACCACCCCTAGTTCAGCAGCTGTGTACAGTGAGTGCCTGTGAGATGAGCCTGCCAGCGCCCTCCTGGAGCGCCAGGTGAGGCCACATTGAATTAGACGAGGAGACGGTACTCTGCATGGAAGGTACTCAGGCTAGCGGGGAAGAGAGACACAAACACCGCTAGGTGGGAACACAGCGCCTTCATTTGGGATGGGACGGAGAGTTTTAGGGGAGAAATGGGACGTTTTGTTTAGTTCTCATCATAATGATTTGACGTGCTCATAGCCTGTCCAAATGATGGCTTCCCACGGCCGACCCTCAGTCAGGCCCTTCCTTTTTGTCTGTGTAGGATTTTTACGTGGCGATTTCCAAGCACCATCTGCACGGAGTCATTCCAGTTTTTGGACAGAATGCGGGCTGCCGGCAAGTTGGACCAGCCTGATCGTTTCTCTTTCAAAGACCAGGATAATAATGAGCCCACAAATGACATGGTGGCCTTTTCACTGGACGGCCCTGGAGGAAATTGTGTGGCCGTCCTGACCCTCTTCTCTCTGGGCCTTATTTCCGTGGATGTCAGGATCCCGGAGCAGATCATCGTGGTAGATAGCTCAATGGTGGAGAATGAGGTCATCAAAAGGTAAGAGCCCGGCGTCCGCAGCATCAGGTCTGGCCACGTGCTAGGCATTGGCCAGACACAGACCGGCAGGGGTCAGTAGTGCCTTCTGGGAGCTTGCAGGATGGGCGTTGCAGATGAGTGACTGGGGATTATAGGCCAGTGTCCAAGGCGTCCTCTGCTGATGCCTCCCAGGTGTTATGGGAATCGGCCAAAGAGAAGGCCGCAGCACAGTGGGGCGGCGGGGGAGGCAGGGAAGAGAAGGGAGGACTGGTCCTGAGGGCCTTGCAACAGAACTGGGGATTCCTGGGGAAGTGGGTGTTTTCTGGACTGAGAGACGGGCAAGAGGAACAGTCCCCACAGAGACGCAGATATGTGACAAGGGGTGAGCGCGTTGCACGGGAAGGTGGAAAAGGGGATGGATCTGGGGCAGCCGTCCACACCAGCCTTGGTAATGAAGCACAGCCAGCTGCTGGGGCCACTGCTGAGGCCCAGCCACAAAGACCTCTCGAGGGAGGGGAGAGGCTGCAGTAGTAGCTGGCTGGCCTGTGCTTGGGTATCCAGGTCGCAATTCTCTTCTAGTTTGGGGAAGGATGGCAGCCTGGAGGATGACGAGGATGAAGAGGATGACTTGGACGAAGGCATAGGGGGCAAGCGCCGGAGCATGGAGGTGAAACCTGCGCAGGCCTCCCACACTAACTACCTGCTGATGAGGGGCTACTACTCCCCCGGCATTGTCAGCACCCGCAACCTCAATCCCAATGACAGCATAGTGGTCAACTCCTGCCAGATGAAGTTCCAGCTCCGCTGCAGCCCTGTGCCCGCCCGGCTCAGGCCCGCTGGTGAGTGCTCCCGCTGGTGCTGAGGGGGGGCCCGGCCTTGCCCGGCTCAGGCCCGCTGGTGAGTGCTCCTGCTGGTGCTGGGGGAGGGCCCAGCCTTGCCATCATCCAGGAGGACCCTGAGGCCTGGCCTGAGACCTAGACCTTCAGGCTCCCCAGGCCAGGCGTGCAGCCACAGGACACACAGAAAAACACACTCCATCCTTGCAGCCGACTCAAGGGACACCTTCCCCAGGTGCCAGTGCCGTGCCCACACCTCTGTGGGAGAGCTCCCCGCACCACCGCTGTCTTTTAGTCACAGCTGTGCCGCAGGCACCAGCAGTCACCCAGGCGGGCTCACCAGGAAGAGCAGAGCACTCCCGCCTCCCCACCCCGCCCACTCTCCCCGGGGGGCCGCGGGGCTCTAGTCTCCTGGTGCTTAGTAAAGTGTGCGCTCTTAGGAACCTTCTAGGTATTATGTTTTGACCCCTTGCTGGGAAAGATGAGTATTCCACTCACATTCATGATCTCCTGCCTCCTTTACTTCCAATTTTGACACTATTTTAGTTCTATTGATGACCTTTGAAACTTTACTTTTTATTTTTATTTATTTATTTGAAATGATTGAGACGGGGACTCACTATGTTGCCCGGGCTGGTCCCTAACTCCTGGCCTTAAGTGATCTTCCCGCCTCCGCCTCCCAGAGTGATGGGATTACAGACGGGAGCCACCACACCAAGCCTATTTTTTTTTTTTTTTTTTTTTTTTTGAGACGGAGTCTCGCTCTGTCACCCAGGCTGGAGTGCAGTGGCCGGATCTCAGCTCACTGCAAGCTCCGCCTCCCGGGTTCACGCCATTCTCCTGCCTCAGCCTCCCGAGTAGCTGGGACTACAGGCGCCTGCCACCTCGCCCGGCTAAGTTTTTGTATTTTTAGTAGAGACGGGGTTTCACTGTGTTAGCCAGGATGGTCTCGATCTCCTGACCTCGTGATCCGCCCGTCTCGGCCTCCCAAAGTGCTGGGATTACAGGCTTGAGCCACCGCGCCCGGCCACCAAGCCTATTTTTTAGAGACAGGGTCTTGCTCTGTTGCTTAGGCTGGAGTACAGCGGCACAATGATAGCTCACGGTCATCTCTAGCTCCTGGGCTCAGGTCATCCTCCTGCCTCAGTCTCCTAAGTAGCTTGGACTATAGGCATGTGCCACCACAGCCAGCTACTTTTTAAATTTTTTGTAGAGACAGGGCCTTGCTCTGTTGCCCAGGCTGGTCTCAGGCCTCAAGGGATCCTCCCGCCATGGCCTCCCAAAGGGGTGGGACAACAGGCGTGAGCTACCATACCAGACCTAGTTTATGTAATATTCTAAGTCCTTTGTTGCCATTTCAACGACGTTCTCAGCGTCTTTACCAGGAGTAGATTCTATGTCAAGAAACTCAAGAAACCACCTTCTTTGCTCGTCTATAAGAAGCAAGTCCTCATCTGTTCAAGTTTGATCCTGAGATTGCAGCAATTCCATCCCATCTTCAGACTCTGCCTCTAGTTCTCTTGTTATTTCCACTGCATCTGCAGTTACTTCCTCTACTGAAGACTTGAACCCCTCAAAGTCATCCATGAGGGTGGGAATCAACTTTTTCCAAACTCCTGTTGATGTTGGTATTTTGACCACCTCCCATGAATCACAAATGTTCTTAATGGCATCTAGAATGGTGACTCCTTTCCAGAAGATTTTCAGTTTACTTTGTCCAGATCCATCAGAGGAATCACTCTAGTAGCCATAGCCTTACGAAATGAATTTCTTCCTTTTTTGAGACAGAGTTTCACTCTTGTCACCTGGACTGGAGTGCAGTGGTATGATCTCAGTTCACTGCAACCTCCACCTCCCAGGTTCAAGTGATTCTCCTATCTCAGCTTCCCAAGTAGCTGGAATTACAGGCACCCACCACCACACCCGGCTACTTTTTGTATTTTTAGTAGAGACGGTGTTTTACCATGTTGGGCAGGCTGGTCTTGAACTCCTGCCCTCAGGTGATCCACCCACCTTAGTCTCCCAAAGTGCTGGGATTACAGGCATGAGCCACTGTGTCCAGCCATCACATGTATTTCTTAAATAATGAGACTTGAAAGTGAAATAACTCCTTGATCGATGGCGTACAGAATGGATGTTGTGTTAAGCAGGCATGAAAACAACATTCATCTCCTTGAACATCTCCATCAGAGCTCATGCGTGACCAGGGACATCATTAATCAGCATACCATTTTGAAAGCAATCTTTTTTGTCTGAGCAGTAGGTCTCTACAGTGGGCTTAAAATATTTAGTAAGCCACATTGTAAACAGACGTGCTGTCATCCAGCTTTGCGGTTCTGTTTATAGAGCATAGGCAGAATAGATTTAGCATAATTCTCTTCCCTAAGAATTTGGGGATGGGAAATGGGCACTGGCTTCAACTTAAAGTCACCAGCTACATTACTTCCTATCGAGAGTGGGCTGTCGTTTGAAGCCTTGAAACCAGGCCTTGCCTTTTCCTTTGTCGCCACGAAAGTCCTAGATGGCATCTTCAATATAAAGCTGTTTTGTGTACATTGAAAATCTGTTTAGTGTATCCACCTTCATCGCTGATCTCAGCTAGCTAGAGCTTCTGGAGAACTTGCTGCAGCTTCTCCAGCAGCACTTGGTGCTTCACCTTGCACTTTTATGTTACGGAGATGGCTTCTTTCCTTAAACTACATGAACCAACCTCTGCTAGCTTCCAGCTTTTCTTCTGCATCTTCCTCACCTCTCTCAGCCCTCACAGAATTAAAGAGAGTTAGGGCCTTGCGCTGGATTAGGCTTTGGCTTAAGGGAAGGTTGTGACTGGTTTCATCTATCCAGAGCGCTGAAACTTTCTCCATATCAGCAACAGGGCTGTTTTTGCTTTATTATTGTTCGTGTGTTCCCTGGAGTAACGCTTTTCATTTCCTTCAAGAACTTTTCCTTTGCCCTCACAACTTTGACTAACTTCAGCACAAGAGGCCCAGCTTTCGGCTGTCCTGGCTGTCACCATGCTTTCCTCGCGAAGTCTGATATTTTCTAGCTTTGGTGTAAAGTGAGAGATGTCCAACTCTCCCTTTCACTTGAACACAGAGGGGGCCATTGTAAGGTTATTAACTGGCCTGACGTCAATTTTTTTTTTTTTTTTTGAGATGGAGTCTCGCTCTGTCACCCAGGCTGGAGTGCAGTGGCGCGGTCTCGGCTCACTGCAAGCTCCACCTCCCAGGTTCACGCCATTCTCCTGCCTCAGCCTCCCGAGTAGCTGGGACTACAGGCGCCCGCCACCGCGCCCAGCTAATTTTTTGTATTTTTTAGTAGAGATGGGGTTTCGTCATGTTAGCCAGGATAGTCTCGATCTCCTGACCTTGTGATCCGCCCACCTTGGCCTCCCAAAGTGCTGGGATTACAGGCGTGAGCCTCCGCGCCCAGCCAACCTGACTTCGATATTGTTGTGTCTCAGGAATAGGGAGTCCCAGGAGAGGGAGGAAAGTGGGGAATGGCTGGTCCCTGGAGTTGTCAGAACACACATGACATTTATCAATTAGGTTTGCTGTCGTATGTGGGTGTGGTTTGTGGCGCCCCTAAACAGTGACAATAGTAAGGACAAAGGTCACTGATCACAGGCCACTGTCACAGATATGATAATCATGAAAAATATGAAATATGAGAATTCCCAAGCATGACAGACACAAATCGAGCACACGGTGTTGAGAAAGTGGTGCCTGTAGACTCTCTTGGTGCAGACTTGCCACAAGCCTTCAGTATGTAAAAAACCCAAAAAACAATATCCGTGAAGCACAATAAAGTGAGGTGCGTTGTTGAAGTTGATGGTATTCACTCTATGTTTCATAACCACAGTTAGAATTCTGTACTTTGTCTGGAGTTTGGACTGGGCAAAAATGTAGTGATAACCTATTGATTATGGCCTTAGCAGAGACGTATTCCATAGGAAGCAACAGAAGCCAGCTCTGGCTAGTGTAGGCAAAAGTGGGGTGTGTAGAAGGGGCCTGGAGTATCTCACAGGGTCTAAGGAACAGTGGGCACATGAGCAGCAGGAAGGGATGGGACCAGGCCAGCCCTGGTCAGGGACTCCCCCTCAGAGCACTGGGCTTTACAGTTCTCGAACCCCAGTCCTCAGCCTCTGTGCCCTTCACTTTATGTCTTGAGCACGAGAATCATAGTGGCCAGGAGAAATCCAGTCAGCTGTAGTCAGAGGCTCAGGGTTGCGGATCAGGAGCCTGACTGCCAGGGGCCCAGCCTGTCCGCCCAGCAGGTGACCCCTGTGGCTGTCGGGGAAGCAGTGAGTTGGTGCTGGAGCATGCCTTTCCTGAGTGTGGCCTGTGCATTGGGCAGGGGAGGGGGGCCTCTGTCGGGCTGCCTCTGATCTTCCTCCGTGTCCCCAACAGCCGCTCCTCTGGAAGAGCTAACAGTGGGAACCTCCTGCCTCCCTGACACGTTCACCAAGCTGATAAAGCCCCAGGAAAACACCTGCAGCTTGGAGGAGTTTGTCCTCCAGCTGGAGCTGTCTGGGTATAGTCCCGAAGACCTGACAGCTGCCTTGGAGATCCTGGAAGTCATTATAGCCACGGGTTGTTTTGGGATTGACAAGGAGGAGCTGCGCAGACGGTTCTCGGCCTTAGAGAAGGCAGGTGGCGGGCGCACCAGGACATTCGCAGATTGCGTCCAGGTGAGCTGTGCCTTAGGTTAGCCGGATATCACTGAAGCGGAAATTGCAGCTCCCAGGCCAGGTGCACACTGAGGATGGGCTTGATTTGGGGCATAGCATGCTGCATTCTTTTTAAACATTGAATTAGTCATTAACATTTGAAAACTGGGGCATTTCACATCCACTTTGAGGGTGCAGTTGTGAATCCACAACTGCACCACAGCTGACGTGGTTCACCAGCGGCCAGAGAGGAAGAGAGGCTGCTCCAGGGCACAGGGCTAGCAAGGGGCAGCCCCAGGGTTAGGAGCCAGGCCCGCCTCGCGAGCCTGGGCTGCTCAGGGCACTTAACCCGCCAGGGACGAGAGGTCACCAGCGTGGAGGATCCCGGGCTCCCCACAGACCCCCCTGTGTCTCCTGCCTCCCCAGGCCCTCCTGGAGCAGCACCAGGTGCTGGAGGTCGGCGGCAACACCGCGCGCCTGGTAGCCATGGGCTCTGCCTGGCCCTGGCTCCTGCACTCGGTGCGGCTGAAAGACAGAGAGGACGCTGACGTTCAGAGAGAAGACCCCCAGGCCAGACCCCTGGAGGGGTCTTCCAGCGAGGACAGCCCCCTCGAGGGGCAGGCACCTCCTTCTCACAGCCCCCGGGGCACCAAGAGGCGTGCCAGCTGGGCCAGTGAGAATGGGGAGACCGACACTGAGAGCACCCAGATGACCCCTGCCAAGAGGCCGGTACTCCAGGACTCAAACTTGGCCCCCAGCCTTGGGCCCAGAGCTGAAGACGGGGCAGAAGCCCAGGCCCCATCTTCACCCCCAGCTCTTGAAGACACCGCTGCAGTGGGGGCAGCACGGGAAGACCAAGAGGGTGTCGGAGAGTTCAGTTCCCCAGGCCAAGAGCAGCTGAGTGGCCAGGCGCAGCCTCCAGAGGGCTCTGAAGACCCCAGAGGTACCGTGCGCCTTGTCCCCCACCCCACCTCACCCCACTCGCGCTTTCCCTCCCCTCCGCCCTGATGGGCCCCACGCCTTCCTCCGGGATAGGGGAACTGCCACTGACACAAAAGGGGCTTGACTTCAGCTTCTCGGAGCCTGAGCCCCAACGGGGGAGGATGCTGCTTGTAAATGCATTTCCAGGGGAGCGCGGGCCTCCCACACCCCCAGGCAGCGCTGTGAGTTCTGGAGTGGGAGCTCAGGCGGTGGGGCCAGCGTGTGTGCTGCAGCGGCTGCTGTGGGGCAGTGACGGCATGGAGGTCTCGCCTTCCTCGGGTGGCAGCACGCCCTTTCCTGTCCTGCACGTCTGCCGTCAGCAGCAGCCTTCTCATGTGGCTTCTCTGGGCGTTTTTGTTTTCTTTGGGCTGTTTTTGCCTCGGGTTTACACCACCCTTGTGGTCAGGGCTTCTGGGTGGAAAATGAGGTGTTCGCTGGCTTCCTCCGGTGTGGGGCTTGTCCGGGCCTGGGACGCTGCTTGCATGTGGCACTGTGTGCGGCAGTCTCCCCGGCCCCGCACCTCCAAGTGGCTGCTCTGTGAGATGATTGTTGTCCTTTTTTTTGATGCTTCATCCCCTGAGCCTCGAGGTGCCCTGCTCATGCTGGGTGCCATGCTGAACGTGGGGAGGCAGAGATGGCTTCCCTGACTTTCCGAGTCTCTCTCATTCTCTTCCTCTTCCCTCAGGGCTCACAGAGAGTTTTGGAGCTGGCAGCATCTCCCAGGCAGCGCGGGAAAGGTGGGTGTGGGGTTCTGGCTCCAGGGCTTCGGGTGGGGCTCTTGACAGGGACCGAGGGTAAGGATTTGTGTGAGGGTTTTTGAGGGTCTTTCCCCAGGTGCCAGCTCTGACAGGCTGCCCAGCACCGTGGTTCTCGGCAGGGGTACTTGGAGGGGCGCAGTGGGTGAGCAGCAGGCGTGCTGAGCACCAGCAGTGCCCAGGTCGGCCTGGAACAAGGGCTGCGCTTCCAGAATGCCCAGGGCGCTGGCGGAGAACCATACCTGGTGCCGTCAGCTGCACTTCACTGGCTCCTCACGGCCCACAGGCACCTCACCCGCTCCTGCAGATGAGCCAGGGGCCACAGAGGGATAAGCCCTGAATGCCCAGCTGCCCCCGGGACAACTGTGCCACACAGTTATAGGAAGCAAGGGGGCCACAGAAGCCCCTCTGGTGGGGGCGCCTCCCATGAGTGTGTGTGTGACCCCAGACTGGGAGGGCCCAAGTGTCCTGTGTCCTGGCTTTCAGGAGCTCAGGTGTGCTCCTCCAAGGCCCAGCCGTAGCGGTAAAAGCCAGGTGTCCAGCTCTTCTGGGTCCGCCCCACTCCTGGGCCCTGGGTGGCTGTTCAGTCCCTGGTCTAGTAGCAGAAACGTCTGTTTCAAGGAAAGCGTTCCTGGAACTCTGCACATGGTGTGGGGCAGAGCTTCAGGGTCATGCTCCTGTGAGCTTCGCCACAGCCTGGAGGTAGCTGCTGCCCGGGCTGCCAGGAGACCTGGCAAGTCCAGGAGTCTCAACTCTTGGCCGTCTCCTGCCAACGTGGGGGGCCCACTGAAGCCTCAGTTACAGCTGCATCTGAGCAGGGCCCCATGTCATGGTTCCACCCAGCTGGCGGTCAGGGGCCCCTCTGTCCAGACAGGAGAGAAGCGGGGAGTTTGCAGAGCAGAGAACAAGAGGTGGCGGCTGGTCTCAGTTCTGTGACCTGGGCCAGGCCCAGGACACCCCTGAGCCTCAGTGTTCTGTCTGAACGAGCTGCCCTCCTGCCCCCGCCAAGCCCTGATGCCAAGCCCTCCCCCTGCAGGGACTGTGAGAGCGTCTGCTTCATCGGCCGGCCATGGCGTGTCGTGGATGGCCACCTGAACCTGCCCGTATGCAAGGGTATGATGGAGGCCATGCTGTACCACATCATGACCAGGCCTGGCATCCCCGAGAACTGCCTGCTGCGCCACTACCAGGGGGTCCTGCAGCCCGTCGCCGTGCTGGAGCTGCTCCAGGTATGGGGCCTTCCCAGGCTCAGCAGGGGGTGGGGGCGGCTGGGTGCTCTCAATGGCCTGGCCGTGATGTTCAGGCCCCAGTCTGCATGCGGAACCACCATACTGCTTGCCTGCACCCCCTCCCCCAGCTTGTCCTGGGCTCTTGCCTCTCAGGCCGTCCCTCGGTGTCCTTCATCAGCTCCATGCTGCTGGCCAGGCTGGAAGAGGGGGTGCCCGGTGCTTGTCTCTGATGCTTTCTCTGTGCCGGGGGTCACTAACTCATGAGTCCGCAGGGCCCCACGGGTCAAGCAGCTGCCCCCTGGTGCGGCTGCTTCCTGCTCAGCTGACAGTTGCCCTGTGCTCCGTTGGCCCAGTGCGCCTGGGGCTGTGTGTTCCCCCACGAGGTCAACTGGAACAAGTGGATCCACCTCTAGGACCCCTGTGGGCGTTCCCTCCCTCCCAGCCACCACCTGCCACACCACTCCTGCCTGATGTTCAGCAGACGCCACTGTGCCCCGGCCTTGGGTCTGCCGAGCCTCCTGCAGCAGGGCACATGTGCTCTGGCCAGAGTCACAGCCCGACACGTTTCCCACTGTCCTGGAACTCTGGAAAGAGAGGCTCCCCCACCTGCCTGCCCCCCAGGCTCTTCTGGGCCTCCAGCTCCTCCAGCAGCTAGGAGCTTGAAGTTCAGTGTCAGATTCCCTGCGAGCCAAACGGAACCCCACCTGGAAGCCAGTCTTGGCTCACAGGACGCTGGGAT